TTAAAAGATAAAATTGTTGTTTGTCTGAACGACACTGTTCTGTCGTTTTGGGTCTCTTTTTTCGTTTGTTCATTTCTTTTTTTTCATTCTTCGATCACAATTTTCTCTTGTGATTCTTGCTGTTTTATTTTATTTTGTCGGGTAAGGTTGAAATAGTTTTATCATTCCAATAACAACAACAAATAATGATGATGATGATGATAGCTTCAGGGCAATTCTTCTTTTTCATTTCTTTTTCATTTCTCCATTTTGCGAATAACTAAATGAATGAATGTTGCCCATTCTATTCCATTCCCTTTTTTCAGAATCAAATGATATTCTGGCTTGTTGTTGGATTGTCCATTGGGAGAATTTCATTCTCAATTCAGTCAACCAACCAGAAAAAAAGAATTCAAGCAAAAAAAATGAAACGAGGAATCAAAAGAAATAACGAAGAGAAAAAAACTGAGCTTCAAACGAAATAATGATGAGAATCAGAATTCCGGAATTCTGAAATTCTTGTGGATTTTTTCTTTGGTTTTTTGCCATGATAAAAATAGACAAACAAACAAGCGAAATTAAATCAGGAAAAAAAGAAATCAAAACAACAAAAAGCTTTGAAATCTAAATTCAAATCCAAATCAATCAATAATCATCATCATCATTAAATTCTAATTACATAAGGGATTATTATTATTATTCAGTGAAGAAAACCATTGATTGTTTCAAATTATAATGATGATCAAAGAACAAATGAAAATCCATAAAACAAACTTTCTATTGTCCAAACAAACAAACTAAACATAACAAACAAATGTCAAAACGTACGCATCCCGCCAAATAACACAATAAACATCAACAAATTGGTGGTGGTGGTCAAATCAATTAGCTTTGATCAATTCCATTCATTCATTTTGGATTTCATTCGCAATTCAATCAATCCATAGTTTTCCCACGCAAAAAAAAAACATATTGCTGCTGCTGCTACTGCTGATGCTCATCTCTCTTTTGAATTTCTGATCGAAGTGAATAAAAGGAAAATAATAAGCTAGGCATATTCAATATTTATCTTTTTTTTGTGGAAAGTTTTTCAATTCAAAAAATTTTCCGATAATTGAATCCGACGTTAACACACACACACGTTAGCATACACACACGGCATTGTCATTGTCATTGACGTTATGCCGCCTCTCTATTATCTTGTTGAATGAATCAATGGAAAATTGAATGAATGAAAAATCTTTCCTATTTATTTTAATGTTGTTTTTTATCATTTTGCTTATGTTTGTTTGATGTTTTTTCACATCATAATCATAATTAAACAATTTTCATCATTTAATGAACCTTTTATGAACTGATGAGATAATGTTCGATAAAAATATCGATATTCTTTTTGGCAATAGATCGATATCGCACAATCGATTGTTTTTCGATGTTTGACATGTTTTTTTTCTGGAAAACATTTACATTTTGTTCATTGTTCATTTTTGTTTTTGTGTTTTGTACAAATCTTGATTGATTTGAATGTTTTGATAAACTTTGATCGAGAACAAAAAATTTTTCATCATATTATTCAAGGTGAAAAACTTATGCATAGAAATCATTTTGTATAAGTTTTTTCGTTTGTTTGTTTGCTGTTACGGTTTCATATAAATATCATCGGGTAGCATATTGAACAAAACAAAACAAAAAAACTACACAAATGATTACAAAATACTTGAAATAATTATACAACAACGATACCTGAAGCTTTGTTTTGTTTTTTTTGTTCGAAAACAAGCCAAAAAAGTGAACATATTGAACTTCCAAAACAAAAAATTATTTTTTTTGGCTAAACATATGAAACCTGATTGAAAGAAAAACCAAACTACAACCACAGACAAAACAAACCAGAACAAACAATGAAACAATGGATATCGTATAAGATTTCAATTGAATCAGGGTATTTTGTTTCAGGATCGATGTTGTGAAAAACTGTTTGTGAAAGGAAAAAGGTCACACCGACAAGGTAAACGATATGTGTTATGTATGCTATTCAATTTCAACAGCCACAAAAAAAAATTCCATTGTTTCAAATCATCTCTTTCCAAACATATATTATTGTTTTGTTTTGGTCAACTTGTTGAGTTGTGGTTGGAAAATTTGTCCGACAAAAAAACTTTTTTTTTTGAAACAAAAAAAATTTCCTTCCTTCGTCTGTTTCAATGTCTATTTTTCTGACTGGCGTTCAAACCACAAATCATTCAATCATCATCATTACTGATGAAAGAAATATACAGAGAAAGAGAAACAATTAATATCATTACACATTATTATTATCATTCATTATCCAAATGAAATGAAATGAGAACAAACAAACAAATTAAGAAACTGGAAAACAAAAACTGGATTTTATTAGAAGATCAAAGATTACATTAGATTATTAAGGTCGACTACTACTGACTAACTAACTAACTTACTGAATCAATTGATTTGTAATTTAATTATATAGAAACAAAAAGATTGATTGAAGATTATATGTCTTAAGGAAATGGATTAAACAAAAAAAAAAAAAAATAGATCAACCAACCAATCAACCAACCATACATTCATCAAAATGAAAATTATATAAAATTTTTTTAATGTTTTGCAAAAATCATTATCAAAACAAAAGATTTTCAAATAACGTGGGAAATTCCATAGAATCAATTTTCTTCTTTATCCTGAATCTATTTTTATAAATATTTCCCCCGCGCCGGAGCTAATAATAATAATAATAATATCAGATTTTTAGTTTCTGGTTTTGTTCATTTTGTTTATTCAAACGATTAGCAATGATTTTTTCTATTTTGCTTTGCCCCCAAGAAAATTAGCTATAATCATCATCATCGTTTTAAATTTTTGCAAAAATCAATGAATTTTATATGAACTAAGTTTGTTTTTTTTGGTTGAAAAAAGGATCATTTTTTTCTTCGTTCTTCAATATCCGCATCAACGAAAAAAAGAAGAAGTGGTGCTTGAGATTTTTGTTTTGTTTTGATTTCTATCCAATCTAATCGAATCGAACGCGATGTAACCAAATTTGATACAATCAGGCGTGTGTGTGACCATCAAGAGTAACAATGATGAAAAAAAGTCAAGTTTTTTTCAAAGAAACAAAAATGAAACCAATTTGAGTATTTTTTTTGGGGGGGCACACGCGTTTTGGTTCATTTCATGACACGTGTTAATTTGTGTGTTTACATTATATTTTGAGAGAGAACATATCAATGAATATGAATAAAATGATTAATAATATTTTGGGTTTTTGAGATTTTTTTATTTCTCAAGTGTTTGATTAAAATGAATTTTTCATTTGAAAATTCTGCATTTTCTTTTTGATATTAAAAAAAATTTTCGTACATTATGGACGACCTTTGCCGAACGATTTTGTGTGTGCATCGTAAATTCAGACACACACACACCGAAAATAAGAAGAGTGCTTGCCAAATTCGGAGAGTATTTTTCGAACCAAAACAGAAAAAAGCATGGATAATCTTGATTCTTATATTTTACAACTTAAAACAGCAAATAATTTTGATGATTTCAAAGATCTTTTACAAATTATTTTTTCAATCATTATAAAATCAGCGGATGATGAATTTATCAATGAATCGGTATCGATCAAACAATTATTAGAGTTTTTGCTCGAACAAATTTGGCCAAATAAAAGAATTGAAACACTACATAGCCGACAATTGAATGAAATCAAAACATTGGCCGATTTGATTGGAAATTTTCTTATTACTTTGATGAATAATTTTCAATCAATTTCGAATGAAATTCAAGAAAAATTATGGTTATTCGCACTTGTTTTTCAATGTGATTATTTGATGGGATTAAATCGAATATCGGAAAAATTTTTAGCAAAATTTTTATCATTGAATCAAAAATCCCAGTTTGAAAATTATGTTGATCGAAAAATATTGAAGAATACAATTTCGACATTGAAACAACATGTTGGTGATGGTGAAGAATGGCCAACAATAATGGGCAATTCGAATATAATTGATTTTATTTTCAAACATTTAAGGTGAGTCAATGTTCAAATTGGTTATCAGTTTTTTTTAATTTTGGGATTTTTTTTTGTAAATTTAGTTATGAAAAGCTCTGTGATTACATTTTCGAGTTATTTCCAGTTGCAATGCAAATCCTCGATAATCCTTTAGAATCAAATCAATCGATTGGTTTAAAGTGTTTGAACAAATTGCTTAAAACTCCTTGTGATAAAGATTTAGATAAAAATTGTTGTAATATTCTGAATGAAAATGGCTATATGGAACTAATATTTGATAGAATGAAAATATTATTACATAATACCGATATGAATTATTATTATTATTTTATATTGATTGAAAATTTTCATCTATTATTATCTTATCAACAACAACAAAATTATCATCGTTTTGGTAATCAAATGAAAGATTTATCATCAATTCATCAACTATATCGAAATCAAGATGAAATCTATAGGATTATGATTGATAATTTATCCCATAAAGATAATGTTGAATTTTTACAAAATAATCTAAATGCATTGATGACATATATTTTTCCATTAATGCATTGTAATCTATTGAAACATGGAAAAATTACAATGAAAACAATCAATTTATTATTGGATCGAATATTAATTTTTACACCAACAACGTTATCATTATTAATTATGGAATTTATTTGTAATTTTATCCAACGAATTGATGGTTGTTTATGTTTCCATGATGTTCAATCGATGGCTGTAAGATTGGCAAAAATTTCTATCAAATTTTCGTCTGAAAATTCATCAAATGATAATGAACAAAAACAAATTGATCGTCAAATCATGCAAATTTTTAATTTATTAGAAAATTCTTCATCCTGTAATGAAAAAAATGTCAAATTTCTTTATCAATTTCGATCCAGATTAAAAATTTTAAATTGAAAAAAATTTTGATTTATCAGTTTTTGTTTTGAAAAAATCCATAGATGGCGCTATTTGTTGTTATTATTTCACCGTTTGTTTTGCTTATCAATTTTTCAATCATCATCATCATATTGATTGTGATGATAATTAACCTTAATCATCCGATCGATAATTCAGCAAATCATCCATGAAAAAATGGATATCGAATATTATATTGTTAAGAATATTGCATGGAATAAATTACCGGCTGAAGTGCAATCGGTAATCGAACAAAAAAATGTAAAAAATTTGTTAATCATATTTGTTTTCTGTTTTTGTTATTTAGCTTATCGACAATTCTGATGAATATGCTAAAAAAATTAAAGAATATTCTGTTGTTAATCAATTAAAATATAAAGATAACCTAAGTATGTTTTTGTATATGATTTCCATTTTTTTTATTTATCAGTTTTTCCACAGTTCGACAGGTTGAAAAAAATCAACGTGCTTATCATGAACAATTACTACGTTATAGTCGTGAACATTATATGCTCTTTCCATATCATCTTTCGGAATATATTATTAATGGAATGCGTATAACACCATTTCAATATTATCAGGCCATTCTAATCCGGATGATTGAACAGGAAAAAAATTATGATACATTACCAAATTTTACGGCTGCTGATTGTTTTCGTTTGATGGGTATCGGTCGTAATCAATATATTGATATTATTAATCAATATAAATCATCGAAAAAATTTCTAGGAATGATTAAAAAACCAATCAAAGAACTGTTGCCAACAAAACCGGTGGAAAATCTGAATATTGATTTTTGGTGGACAATTCGTCCTGGTTATATATCGGAAGATGATATTAAATCAATGGTTACGGTGGAAGAAAAAACCGTAATAGATATTATTGTTAATGATCTATCGAAACCATTTCCAGCTGGAAATTTTCCATATGAAATCATTCTAAATTTATACATCAAAGGTTTAATTTATTTTGATATTATTATCCAAGATGATGATTTAATTTATATACCACCATTGGAAGGATTTGTCATGAATCGTACAACGGGTGATTATTTTGAAAAATTATTATATAAAATTTTTGTATCGATTGATGAAAAAACAACAATATTTGAACTATCGGAAGTTTTAAAAATTGATTTAAATCTAGTGAAAAATGCTATATCAATGTATTGTCGATTAGGATTTGCATTTAAAAAAAATAATGATATTAATGTTAATAATTGTCATGACTCATGGCTAAAACATATGACAACATTGTCATCATCATCTCAAAACAATAACAATCGACAAACATTCAACTTGAAAGAAAATTTTATCAATTCACTTAAATTGACTGATGAACCGCCATCATCAAGTTTAAATGTTATCGTTGATCCAATTGAATCATCAAATGGTTGTTCGAAAAAACAAAATTCCGATAATTCATCATCGGAACTATCGCCAAATTCCCCGATACCATCGATTGGTACCCCATCACCATCGTTGGCTAATGATAATTCGAAACGAATTGGTCTTCTTTACGATTCAACATTAGCAGCATTTCTTATGATGGGTAATCTTACGCCTGGTTTGAAATCACATGCCGTGACAATGTTTGAAGTAGGAAAATTATCCGATGAATCGATTGAAAATTTTGTTTTAGAATTGGAAAAAATTGAAGATTATTCCACCGATGATGAAGGCTGTGAAGCTGAACGTTATTTTCTACATGCAATTCTTCTATGTCGTACTATTCAATTTTTACGTCATAATTTTGATCTTACAAAAGATTTTATTATTAACGATAATAATGATTTATTGCAACATTCGACTAAAGGTTTAGGTTTGGATCTTATTCGTTGTGAAAGTTTATTGAATTTAGATCAAGATTCCTGCGAACGATTATTAATGCGAAATTATGAATTATTAATATCGGTTGCACCATTGAGTAATGAAACACAGATATTTACAAGTGATTTAATACCATATTTTGGTGCATCATCATTAGTCAATTCGATTTGGTTTAAATTGTATTTGTATTCCATAACCGGTTCGGGACCAATTTCTTTCTTAATATCAAAAGGTGTTCGATTAGCACGTTTGCCCGACATTCTTTACAATTATGATTGTATAATGTTAACACCGTGGGGACGTGATTCAACAGTTGTTTCAATATCAAATGCATTGATTGCCATTAATGAAACAACAATATTTAATCCAGTATTGATACAAGCTTATCCACAAAATCATTTTAAATTAACTGAAAGTGAACTGTTGCATATTCCATTACCATTACTTGATGATCAAAGTAAAGATGAAAATCTTTATCTTGAATTTTTTCTCAAACATTCAGCCATAAAACGTATGCGTCAACATATTAATCTGAATCGTATTTGTGGTTATTTAACATTGATTAATTATCATAAACCCCTTTGTGATATTGATCAATTGAATCTAAATGAATGGTGTATATTTGATTGTCATTTTGGTATACCATTATTCGATCGACAATTGAATAAAGATGTTTGTAATCGCATCAGATCGAATCGATTATTTGATAAACAAAAGTAAGTCAAATTTAGTGAAATGTTTTTAAAGAATATTTATTTAAACTTTTTTCATCCAAACCAAATCAACAACAGATTAAAAGATTTAATTGAATCGAATAAAAAATTATTCCATGAAATTGATGTATTTATTAGGAAAAATATAACTCCATTATCGTCATCTTCATCATCGAAAATAAATTATGACAAACATCAACAACAATATCAAGTTCCACTTCCACCAAATTGTATAATGTTCGATGAAGATGGGAATTTAGATCGTTTATGTTTAAATTGAATGATAAAACTTTCAAGTGAATAATAATTTGATCCAAATGGGTCCGTATACGGTGAGAGAAAAAAAATTGGTGAGTTATGATAAATAAATATAATATTTATATCACAGAAAAACTATATTCATCATGTTCCATTTCTTCATCATCATCTTTGGCTGATGGCTTCTTATCAAAGAAAATGAATTGAAAATAATTAAAGAGGTGCTGGTGGTGGTCAAATAGATATGTCAGTAGAACCATAACGATAATTCGAATGAATTATTATTGCTATTATAATTATTATGATACTTAATGAAATGATACCGATGATTATGAATGTTAATGGATCTGTTTCAATTGAATAAAATAATGAATTAATTTTTTGTTATAAATAAAAAAACTGTCATACTGGTCAGAAAATCATCAATTTTTGTAATGATTTGTGGTGTTGGATGATTATTGATTTGGTCATATTTTATCAAATCATTTCGTTGATGACTTAATGCGTATGCTTTTTCTATTGGTTCATCATCGTCGCCATTATCATCACCATCATCATTCGCATCGATTTCGTTTGTTGTATTTTCTTTAGCTAATTGATGATTTTTGAATTAAAAAAGTCACAATTAATTAATTGTTAATATGGATTGATCAAAAATCATACCAATACAACGTGTAACGGTTCCATTCCAATATGTTTCATATTCACAGAATAATATTTTTGATGTTTGACCAGTATCCTCGAAAACATAATTAAAATAACAATTATAATAAGCATATGATTGATTACGATACATATAGCCATTCGATGGTGGTCTTAATGTTGGACAATCAATCACTGAAATCAATCAATTGGATTATTATTGAATTGTAAATTGTGATTTACTTACTTGTATAACGAAAAAATATTCCACGTGTTGGTGAAAATTCAAAACTACGAAAATCAATGACTAGTTCATTACTTTTACTACGATATTCAATTAGATTGGATTTTAATTCACCGCATAAAATTATTCGCCGTATATTTTGATCAATAATGGCTAAATTATCTGTACATTCATAATTATTCAATAGTTTTTTATTACTTGTAAATCTTGGTTCCTTCAATGACAGGTCAAGTATTTCGATCTGTATACGTTGACCTGGATAGCCAATTATTTTCCATTTACAATCATATGGTGGATAAAATTTTGGATAACCAGGATTCGATACATAACCAAAACTATCCGTTAGTTTAATATTACAATATGAATTCATTTTTATTTCTGTTCAAAAAAATCATTCAATTTACTTTATCCTTAAGGAAAGAAAAAGTTGAATAAAGCTTACTTGGAACACAAATATATTTGAGATTAATCCATCCATCATAACCTGAACATTGATTATTGTGTGATTTTCGAAGATTTACTCGACAAGCTTGATGACCAGAACATCTATTGGAGATTTAGAAAACATTTAAATTTAATATACACTGATCATTTTAAAAATCTTTTTACTTTGAATTTAAAGTTAAACGAAGATCATCGGTACATGATTGTTGTTGTTGTTGACTATTTATCTTTTGCATTGATGTTTTATTATCATCATCATTGGCAATAAATCGACATTGATCAACCATAGATGATGTAAAAAATGCTTCACGAATAGCAATCACTTCGTTCGATGAACATTTTATCGAAATATTTTCCATATCCGCTTTTGGTAAACATCTTTCCAGAATAATTTCCAATCGACCTTGTTGATAAGAAAAAAATAAATTTTTTTGAGAAAAAAAAATTCAAAGCAAACATACCTTTTCCAAAGTTTAAAAACAAAACAATAATCAAAATGAAAAATTTATTCATTTTTTGTGTTTGTTTGTGTAGATGAATCAAATGAAATTTTATCAGCAATGAAAGATCGTCATTCGAAAATTAAAACCAGTTTTTTCTAGGTTATCATCATCAATAATGCCGGTGATGATTATCGTTCGACAGATTGATTATTTTATCTTTTTTTTGGACATACGATATTATCCGTTCGGAATCCGTTGTTTGTTTAGTTTTCGAATGAATGAATAAATGATGATATTTTTTGCTGGTTGGTATGTGCCAATCTCAAGGTTAATCAAGGATCGAAAAGTATTTATTTATATGAAATGGACACGGACAACAAACAAACGAACGACTATAACATTGGCTTGGCTGACTGACACTCACTGATGATTACTGTATCGACATCAGCCGAAAATAAAAATCCTGGCAGAAATGGATAAAAATAAATTTTTATTTTTGTAAACAGTGAAAAAAAGTCATGCATGCACGTGTGTATATGGCACAAATAACAAAATGTTTTTGTAATATATCTTTTGGGAATGAATATATAGCGCGTAAAAATAACTGAATGAAAACCGAAAATCCGAATTGGTTGAATGAAAGACGCATGGCCGAATGGTATATATGTGGTTGGTTGTCCCGACCAACCGATCAACGCGTACCGATCGACAAAATGACATATATCACCAACATATAATTCTCAAGGACGGAAATGACAGATGTTTTTATTGTCACCGAAAATGAATTTTGTTGCCCACATTTTATTAATAAACATACCCTACTCTATTTTATTTTTACGCTTTCTTCATTCAGATTTTTTCCTTTTTTAAACAAAGCAAACGCGCGCGCGCTTTTTCATAACAATCATCATCGATTTCTCTATATGAAAACAAAACAAACCATCCTTGAAAAAAGGGACCTTGTGTTCGATGTATTAGATGTATAGATCTCATCATTTAAGATCTCTACATTGATTAACACACACAATGTGTAAGTGAATTTTGAAATGGATGATGATTGAAATTGATCATTGTTTGATCTAGCACACGATCACCGAAGTCACCGATTCGCATGTTTCGTTGTCGTGTGGCAAAATTCAAACAAAAAGCCATATATTTCAGGAAAAGAAAAACAAAAAACATTGTGTTCAAACATCTGCCATGAACGTATGGAGAGAGAACAAATATTTATTATGAATGAAAATTAGTCTTTTTTTTCTTTAGCTAAAGTTTGATGACAATTAGTGTCAACTGTTGTTGATTGGTGTGTGAGATCGAGATCCTTGAAAGTGTTTTCACTGTTGATGATCATTTGATGAATGTCATTGATCATCAACTTCATCATTATAATTATTTGATCGATATAGGAAATAACATTTGAAAATCTATTAAGGGTCAATAATGATGATGATTGACTGACTGTTTTGTCTTTCACATTGAGTTAATGAAATGAATAACTGGATTGATTGATTTTGGTTAGAAGAATGAATCCAATTTGTGTGTTCGTTCATGTATAATCATACTATAAAGACGTGCTGTTGCATAATTACAAGATTTCCATTTACAACGAAATGGTTTTTCACCAGTATGTTTACGTTTATGTTCGACTAATTTATGATAGGCAACAAGTGATACATTGCAACCAGGCCAATCACATTTAAAACGATGCATCGATAAATTTGATGATTTATCTATTTTAATCAAGCCACTATGTCGTTTAAAACTATGACGTTTAACAACACCATTATAAAAACTACCAAAACTGCAACCATCCCAACCACATTTATACCAAATTCTTGATTCCTGATTATTTTTGATAGTTGTTTTCAATTTTTTCGTTGATGATGATTTGTTTGTTATTGTTTTGTTTTTGTTGGCTGTTTTTCGGAGAAAAACAAAATTTGTTTAATTTAATTTAAATTTTTTGTTTGATATTTTCCTCACCAGATTTGTTATTGTTTAATTTGGCTGTTGTTTTGATTTCATTTTGTTGTTGTTGTTCAATTTGATTCATGGAATTGACTAGTATTGTTGATGATGATTGTTCTGGTTGTAGCATCATGATGTCATTATTATTATTATCAATCATGATTTGCTGTTGTTGCTGACAATTACCATCATGATGATGATAATGATCAACATTTGGAGTGAAATTCCATGATGATGACGATGACGATGATTCAAAATAATGATTGTTATTGTTTTGATTTTCTACATTCGTTGATGATGAATTTCTCTCGTTTTGATCGAATGACAACGCTGAAGAAATATCCATCGAATCATTATAGTAATAATAATGATTGTGATTGGATGTTGTATCATTGATTGATGTCGATGTCGATGTTGATGATGATAATAATGTTTCTTTGAATTGAATTGAATTGAATTTTTGAATTTAAAAAAACAAAGGAAATGACAAATAATATTTACCATAATGTGATGATAATTGATATAAATTGGAATCAATAATCGATATATCGTTTTGATATCGATTATAATCGTTTTGATTTATAATTTGATCCTGTTGACCCGATAGATTGATTTGTATCATTAATTCTTTTAATGAATCGAATGCAAATCTATATTCATGACATAGATTTTCTAATATCCAACGATATTTATCATCATTATCACCATTATTGATGGGATCCATTATTTTTGCAACCAAAAATCGAAAATAATTAATTGGAAACTCAGTGGGAAATGTAGCAACAGTTACTATTTGCTCGTTTCGTTTCTTCTTGGCAAAATTATCTAGACAAGGAAATTAGACGAAAAAACTTTCTTGAAGCCAGAAAAACCTCTTCATCATCATTTTCAAAATGTTCAACGTCATTTAGACGAATGAACGTTGAAATACTGTTATTGTTGTTGTTGTTGTTAATTGAACGATGATCATCGATTATCAGATTATTATTATGGATTTTTTCATTACCAATTTCCAATTACAATTACATGCTCGTTGATCGGTTTTGTTCGAAAAAAATTTCAAAATTCAACATTTTTTTTTGTTCGTTCCGGTCAAGAATTATTCAATTTTTTTCCATAATTCGAACATGTAAACATTGTTTACAAAAACATTATTTAAAATCGAATGGAAATTTTCTCCATTCGATTTTTTCAAATTTGAATTTTTGGCAAAACGAAATGTATGCATGGAGCTATGCATTCAACTAAAGGTTCGAGGAAATAAAATGTCCATGATGATGATGATGATCAAAACAAGGAAAATATTTTACATCAAACACATTTCTGTGTGTTTGTTTGTGAAATATAGTTTTTCTTTTTTGAATTATTTTTTGAGAAAAAAATTGATGTTAAAATAGTTATTTTTTCTATTTGTTTTAGATAAAAAAGAATCAACAGCAACAAATCATCATACGATTTATCGATTAAAACCATTGGATCAATTGACAAATTTAAATAATAATAATAATAATAATAATTGCGATAATAAACATGATAATAATGAATCAACAACAACATCATCATCATCAATAATTCCATATGACTGTTATGTATTTGTCATTTATTGTCCTTTACATGAAAAATTAGCCATCACACGACAAACTGATCGTCAAATTGTTTGGCTGCCATTCACACGTACCATATCGATTATTGATAATGATTATCGTTTTACTGATCAAGCTATCAATGGTGTTTTGACTATTTTATCCGATAATAATGCTGAACGATTGAAATTATTATGTAAAACATTGCCATTTCAACAATGTCATTGTATGCAAATATTTCGTATACAATCACCACAAACATCCAAATTTGCTATCCGATTGACATATTTTGTGGAATTGAGTCGATCAACAACGAACGATAATAATAAATTTATTTGCTGTCAAGACAGTGAACATATAAAATGGATAGCTATTTGCGAATTATTGAATAATAATTATATTCCCAATTTATGGGGACCAGAATTGATACAATTTTGTCGACAATCACGCAAAAAACCAATTGCACAACAGATTCGTGAACTAAGTTTGGAAAAAGCATATTTTTTCCTACCAAGAGATACGGCAAGAAATTTGGAAGAATCTATTTTGAAATCAGCACATCTAACCGATAAAGATGTTGAACGTTTATATCAAGATTTTATTGAACATTGTTTCCCCAGTACATATCAAACATTTGAATCGTTTCGTTGTTACATGTCGAAATATGGTTTTGATCGTAACGATTGTCGTTTGAATTCATTATTCAATGCATTCAATTTTCAAAATAATGGTTTTCTATCTTTTCATGAATTATTACTTGGACTGGCTACTATTGAACCGGATACCGTGCATGGTGAATGGAGAGTTAGATTTATTTTTCGTTACTATAATAATAATGGTACAGGTAATTTAGATATGAATGAATTTCAAAGAATGATTATCGATTTGAATCAAGGTTTATCATTATCAATCGAATCAATTAATCTAAAAATAAGAGAATCATTACATGAAATCGGAACGAAATTGGTGAATAATAAATGTGTTATAACATGTGATGATTTTGTCCAAGCCATTGGTTCACATCGTTTTCGTGGAACATCATCGCTATGTCGTTCATCAAAATCATTGTTTGAATTATTATCGCGTACAGTATCGGCAAAAGCATTGAAAAAATCGGATAGATTTTTCAATATGGATGCCATTATTGATCAATTTAAAGGAATTTGTTTCAATTGTAAAACAAAACAATATTTCCTTGCAAATCATTCAATCAAATTGAATCGTAATGGATTGATTGTTCAATCCAAAATGCTAGAACAACAGCAACTATTTTCAATCAACCAACAACAAATGAAACCATATGAACTGGCTGCTTTAAATTATTCCAAAGAAATTCAATTCAATTTTGAATCATCCGTATCAAATCTATTGATAACATTGATTCGACAATTTAATCCGGATAAAGGTACAAATCGTAAACCAAAAGGTTTACTTGAAAATGATCCCGAATTATTATGGAAATTAGTTAATGTTCTATGCAATGATATGGAACGATTATTAGATCATGAAGATAAATGTGTAAGAATTCAATCACCTTGTTATGTGATTGGTGATATACATGGCAATCTGGATGATCTTTTGCAAATGGAACAAGTTTTATGGAAACGTTTGCCTTGTATGGGTTCGAATTTCCTATTTCTTGGTGATTATGTTGATCGTGGACAATGGAGTATTGAATGTTGCCTATACCTGATGTCGTTCAAAATATTATGTCCAAACAAGGTAACATTATTACGTGGTAATCATGAAGTACGTAGTTTACAAACATATTATACTTATAAAAATGAATGTCTGCGAAAATATGGTAAAATATATGGTGAATATATTTGGGAATCAACTAATAAAGTTTTTGATAAATTACCAATTTCGGCAACAATTGATGCATCAATATTTTGTTCACATGGTGGTATACCAAAAACTGCACAGACATTGAATGAAATTAATCAAATTAAACGCAAATTAGTGGATCCGGAAAAAGAATCAATCAGTGCATGGGAAATATTATGGTCAGATCCATGTCATAATCAACAATTTGTTGAAATGTGTAATTTTTTCGGTATCGATCATCAAGAAACTAATGGTTATTTGAGCAACATGAAAAGAGGTACTGCTTATCAATTCAATGAATTCGCTGCAACCAGATTTTTACATAAAAATGGCCTCAGACGTATGATACGTGCACATGAAGTACCACAAATGGGTTATCAATTTCATTTCAATGGAAAATGTTTGACAATATTCTCCTGTTCACATTATTGTGGTAATCAAAATCATTGTGCATTGATTTTGATTGATCAACAAATTCTACGCATTATACGTTTAGATACTTATGATAATAATGATTCAAAATCATAATTTATTTTAATTAAAACAAAATAAGATTATAAAATTTATATAGAATGTAAAATTGTAATAAAAAAATTTTCGTTTCGAAATATAATAAATTAATTATTAATTAACAATAATATCATTATCATTATGAATCTGTTCTCCATCACAATCATCATCGGATTTTAATGATAATCGATTGATTTCTTCCTGGGTTAGATAACCAACACTTTTAACAATACCATAGGAAAAATAAATTAAAAATCCGATAAACATCCAGCCAATAAAACGGAACCATGTCATTTGATTTAGATGTACCATTAGATATGTATTGGCAAAAACACTAAATAATGGAATGTATGGTATTAATGGAACTCTAAATGATGTAGATTCATTCCTAGTTTTTGGTTGCCTGGCCAGACAAAAAACCACAAATATAAATAATAAAAATATTCCAATCAAAGGTATAATGCCATAATATGGTAATGTTAATGACCAGATTTTATCTTCAAATATGATGAATGTGAAATTCCATATGAATACAAGCACAACTGTAAGATAATTGAATTCATTGAAACAAAACAAAAATCAACAATATTATTACTTACATGATATGGCAATCAAAATCATACTTAAATGTGATGAAAATTGATCCGGTTGATCAGAATTTTTCCAATTGAATAATCTTTTTATAAATGAGCCTTGATAAATGTTTTCATCATTATCATTTGTCATCATTATTTGGGCAGTTGATTGATCATTATCAAAATCGGTATTTGGTTGATTTTGATATCTTAAAATCAATATAGAGATAGCGACTAATGTATAGGCAAGTAATGTACCAATAGACATCATTTGAGCTAATTCATCGATATTAAAAAATGTAGCCATTAATGCGGCCAAAAAACCGGATAACATGGTTGCTATTAATGGTGTTTTAAATCGTTCATTAATACGGGAAAGAAAACGAAATAATAACCGATCGTTGGCCATAGCATAGATAATGCGTGGCATTGGAAACATCGCACCAATTAGACTGGTGGAAAGACCGGCCAAAGCACCGACGGTAATAACTTTTTGCGCAAATGGATATCCAACTTGTTTGAATACATATGGCAATGGTGCATCATTATTTTGATCCCAATATGGCCACATTAACGTCTGAATTGCTGATACAGCACAATAGGCAATTGTAACAGCCGTTAATGATAATATTATACTAATTGGTAATGATCGTTGTGGATCCAATACTTCTTCACCAGTGGTAGCAATAGCGTCGAAACCAACAAAACTATAGAAGCATGTTGCTGCACCGGATATCGTTCCTTTGATTCCGAATGGGAAAAATCCACCCTTACCACCATCGATATCGGTTGGTATTTCATTTTTGGAAATATTCCAATTATGAAAATCAATTTTAAATAGTCCAACAATAACACAATAAAATACGACAAAAAAATTTACAGCCGTAAATATTAGATTGAATTGTGTTGATTCTTTTACACCGAAACTTAAAACACCTAAAAAGAGTGAAATGAAATGAGTTATAAGTGAAAAATAAATAAAGCACAAAATCAAATTATTACCTGAAAGTAACAATGTTAATGAAAAAGCAAACAAATCTGGATAATCGGAAAACCAATTTGTATGCGGCAGTTTAAGATGTAATGTGTCTTTGAAAAAATTTTTGATTTTATTATCAAGTATACCATCCAAATAATTACTATAACCACGTGCAACTGATGCAGCACCAATAATATATTCTAAAATCAGATTCCAACCAATTATGAATGCCATAAATTCACCCACACAAATGTATGAATAAACATATGCTGATCTGGAGAAGAAAAAGCGTTTTTTAAATTCAAAAAATTTTTCAATTTCAAAATACACATACCCAGCTTTTGGAACTAATGCTCCGAATTCTATTCATTAGTGGAGAAAAAATAAAAACAAATTTTTGAATCAACAAAAATTGACTTACCAGCATAACAAAGTCCGGCAAAAATACTTGATATCGCCGCAATGATAAAACTGATTACAACCGATGGACCTAAAAATCAAACAATTTACTAGGATTTTATTTTGAAAACAAACAAAAATTAATCCATTACCGGCTTGTTTATAGGCAACAGTACCGATAATAACATAGATACCAATACCTAATGTCGATCCAATCCCTAATGCAGTCAATTCTGTAGTGCCTAAACATTTTTTCAGTCGTGTTGATTCATTCTTTTCAATCGGTTTTCGACGAACAAATGCTCGCCATAGTGCAAACATTACGTTTTTCATTATTTTAAACAAAGAAGAAAAAAAAGAATTTATCCGATTGAATAATGATGATAGAATGATCATTTTGAGATAATTATGATTCAAATAAAATATGATTGATTATCGAACGGGGAGTTTTCCAAATAATATATAAATTTTTGATTCGAAAAATTTGGCAATTATATGGAAAATGTCGATGCCTTTGGATTGATGAGAGAAAATCATTGACATCGATAATCCAGACGCGAAAGCAAAGCATAAAAACAACAACAATCAATTAATCATAATTAATTATTAATTGTTTTTTGATAGGAAAAACAAATAATTAGATTCTAATTAGTGATATGGTGATGATAGTAAAGCAATCAAGTATTATGCATTATTATTGGATGGCAACGTTTTTCTTCGTGTTCATCAATGATGATCATTTAATTAGTACAATTTCATCATTATCATCACCGTTGGTGACAATTAATTATCTTTTTACTAATTAATTTCATCTTTTCCTGGTGGATCGTTAATAAGACGCACTTTTCAAGTGTGTTCTAATGAAAAAATATTATCTTTCAATCATATCAAAAAGAACATTTTTTCAAGTCAAAAATATTCAGAATGAAATATTGATCGATAAGTTTGGTTGTTCCCAAGTACATTCATAAAAAATTTTTCCTAATCAATATTTTGAGTATTTTTATATAAATAATATTTTGATGATAATGACAAGATTTTTTAAAATAACGGCACTTGAAACGGATCGATGGATCGAACGATACGCAGAATATTTTGTTGTTGTTGTTCGCAAAACGTTATTTGTGAATTTTCGAATATTTTTTCATTTTTCGAAAACATGCATGTTCGAAAAGGTTCGAAAATTCAATTGCATTTTTTTGACATTTTTTTCTCGAGTAAAAAATGAACCATTATGGGTAAGATTTTTGCATTTTTTTCGCTCGATTATCATAATTATTCGATTGATAGTATGATCATTTGGTTTAGCATCGTTATTATATTTTGTTCAACAAAAATATTTGCCAATGAAAATGATATGGAAAAAATAAATTTTGACCTATCAAATAAAGAAAATATTGAACTTTATTTCAAATTTCAACGCAAACAACAATTGAATGCTGTACAAACATTAATGACATATGATCGTTATGAACAACAATATCAAATGGTTAAAAAATTATTTGAAAAAATATTCCATATAATTGATGAATGTCAACAAAATATCATCAACAATTCGCATTATAATATTGGTGATTCATTACCATTCGATCATCAAGAAATTGTCGACAATATAATACAAGCGATTGATAATTGTGCATTTTTTGCAAATATGGTATTGAAATTACCAGACATTTCTCGACGTCTTCTGACAAATGAAATGGAAACAAATTGGGAAAAATCATATCGTTGGTGTTTGAATTTTACCAAACAATCGAATATTGTTGATGATATTAGTCTGAAAATGTTCAATCTAGCAGCGCAACAATTGAATATTGTTGAAAAAGAAGATGATTTTCTCAATCCATATGAAAAAAAGAATCAAAAATCGAAGATAAATTCAATTGAAAAGAATTCTAATGAAAAAAAGAAAATGGCAAAAAATTCCAAAAAAATCAAAAAAGGTCCACGAATGAGTCGTATTGAATTATAACTTTCCCCAGCCCGTTCCCCCCAATTATAATAAGATATTTTTTACCCATTTGTAAATAAATAAATTCATTCCCGGGTACAGAGTAGTTATTGTCTTTTTCGCATTTTTTGGGCGTCGGTTTATTTCTGAACATTTTCATCAATCCAGCACAAACACACATACATAGTCAGCGAACATTGATTTTAGAGTTTCACCTGATACATGCTGTATGTATACATTGCATAAATAACAAACAAAAAAAAATTACCGTTATTTGAACACAGCAGCAGAAAAAAAATTCGATAATTTTCATGTGCGTGATATCCATTTCTGGGTTTTAATGATTGGGATATCGGTCGATTTTGGCTTTGTTTGGGTTAGGTTATTGATTGATTGAACGTCTTACAGACAAATTCTAATCAGAAAAGAAGAAAAGTTGTCATATTTTTTTTCACTGAGTTCAATTATTATCATCTTTGTCAATTTCTTGTCTCTGATTATTTTCACCACTGTGTGCTGTTTTGTTTTTGATTGGAAAAATTATTTGAAATTTTCTTGAGAAAATCGAAAATGTCATCGTTGTTGTCGTCGTCGTCGTTGATGATGAAGATGGATTCGAATCGAATCATTTTATTGAAATTATTTATATCCGGTTTGTCATGTAAGTTTTGTTGTTATTGTTTTTGGAAAAATGTGAATTTTCTTTCACTTTTTTTGCAGCCTATATTTTCGCCATTATTTATCAATTATGTTTGGCAAATAACAAATCAATACTTTTGAAACATTTTTTCAATATATCAATTGGATTATCGATTTGTTTATTCAATTTTGGTATGGTATTTGGAATTTTTAGAAATTTTCAATTGAAAATTTTTTTTTCACCACCCAGGTATCGATACTATTCATTCGTTGATAACATGTTTAACAATTTATTGTTCGATTCGTTTACTTGGTCCGACGCGTTTGATGGTTATTTTAAATTTTGTTTTTTGTATGGTAAATTGGCAATCATTGCTATTTTTGATTATTCTATATGATTTTTCATTTTTGCTTTAGTCATATTTATTATATGGATATTATGATAAATATCTAAACAATTTACATGATGTTTTAACATGGACAATGCCACAATGTGTATTAACATTGTCATTAATTGCCTTATCATTTGATATTTATGATGGTCAACAGAATTTGAAATCGAAACAAAATCCTAACCGTAATAATGATAAAAAAAATATCATCACCAATGAAGATACAGCCATCGAACGTATACCAACATTTATTGAAATTCTATCGAAATGTTATTTTCCACCAATATTTTTAATTGGTCCACAAATTAAATTCAAAGATTATATCATATTTATTGAATCCAACGAATCCATTTTGAAATCATGGTTAGTTTCTATTATCTTATCTGATAAATTTTTAATCAAAACAAAATACAAACAAAATTTAGCTGGAAACCATCCATTTTGCGTTTTTTATCCGGTATTATTTATCTTTCAATTTATCAAATCGGCAGTATATATTGGCCAACCAGATATTTATTATCCGATGATTTTGTAAGTGAATTTGATGATAAATTGGATTCAATTTAATCCTTTTTTATCATAGAAATCCTATGGGTTATTTGCAAAATTGACCATAATAGCCATAACCAATAAGATAACATTATGTAAATATATATCCGGTTGGTTAATATCTGAAGGTGCATGTATAATGTATGGTATAGCACGGAATCCATTGAATCCCCATCAACATGATCGTTGTAGTAATGTATCAATATTTCATTTCGAAACAACGGCTACATTCCGTGGCATTATCGAATCCTTCAATATAACAACCAATCAATTTGCAATGAAATATATTTTTAAGCGTTTAAAATTTTTGGGTTCGAAAATGTTAAGCCAGTTAATGACATTATTTTTCCTAGCATTATGGCATGGTTTTTCAATCGGCTATTATAATACATTTGCATTGGAATTTCTTATCGTCAAAATGGAAACAGATGTAAGTTGAACATATTTTATTTTCAAAACAAAATTGATAATTGAACCCATCATTTGATAGATTGCCAATAAAGTGATTGAATATCGTACTGGTAATAATGGATTTAATCAATTATTAAATAACATATCGATTCGTTGGTTGCTATATTTACTGATGCGTATACATGTCATCTATATGCTTAGCTATTCATTAATATCATTTACAATACTAGATTTTTTCAAATGGACATCAACATTGTCAGAAATTTATTATCTTGGTCATATCATTTATTTTGGTTGGTTCATTCTATCCATTCCATTCAATCTGTTATCTTCTTCCAATTCATCACACAAAATTTCTAATCAACAGAAAAATAAATAAAATATAATAGTTAATAATTTTTTATTCTTTATTATATTTTTTTCAATAACAAAATATTCTTACATAAAATATTTAAAAAAATCACCGATCATCATTACGAAATTCGGTAATATCATCCAAGGCAATTGAAAATGGTTTCGATATGTATCCAGTGAGATTGATCATTGCCTGTTCATGTTTCCAATCAACAGTATCAATTTTGGCCAATTTTCCTTGATAACGACCACGTAAAATCATTACCTGTATTGATGGATCGGATAATGATGGTATCACAGTACGAAGCATTGATTGCGTAACATTATTTAATATTTTTTTATCCTTTGTACGACATATACATTCATTGCCACGTGTTTCCATGATGACAACTTTTTCTTTATAATATCTTCCATTTTTATATTTTTTATCAACTATTTGAACACGTATTTTTGGCACAATCCATATTTCACCACTACCGTCATCACCATCATCATCCATACGTTCATCTTTCAATGATGACCGACGCCTTTCTCGAGACTAAGGGAAAAAAGGAAATTATTAAAAAACGAAACATTTAGGAAGCATATCAAACATACATGTGAACGAGAACTACTTCGACTTCGACTTTGATGTTGTTGTTGCTGCTGAGAATCCTTTTTCTTATATTCATCATAACGATATTTATTTATCACTTTACTTTCCGAATCATATTCTTGTTTGGTAACAATACGCAATAGATCTTGTAAAATTTGTATAGCATCTTTGGTTAATGTTAATCGAACTTGAACATAGATCGACTCATCACCCGTTAAATTTTCAACAATGCCATAATAACCTTTATATGGACCGAATTCTATACAAACATGACAACCTAATAGGGAGAAAATTTAAAATTATTGAATCTTCTTTTTTTATTTGGAAAATAGAGAAAAAATCTCTGACCTTTTCTTAAAATTGGTTCATCTTTCATTTGGCTAGTAGTGGTTCGATTTGAATTTTTCTGTTCTAATTGTTTTCGTATGGAAATATCGGCACCAAGACCTAAACCACGAGGACGTAATTGTGGTTCAATAATTGGCGTTATCGATTTGTTTATACCACCGATCGGTGCACCTTCTTTCCAGCCCATTCCACGTAACATAGCAGCGCCATAAACATTGACAGGTATTTGTTCGTAATCATTCAGTTTTGGTTCATCGGGACGCATCGATACATCACATTTCGAATCATTTTCATATTCATCTGGTAATTTATTTATTAATAATGATTGCCATGCAGGTAATAGCTGATCTTCATCAATCATTTTGGATTCTACAATTAGTTCTTGTTTAGCTTGTTTCGTAATTAAATCATCATCATCATCTTCATTTTTAATAGGTAATTGTGGCGATGCTTCAGCAGAATCACAAGTATTATTATTTCGATTTTCATTTTCAAAACGGTATTTATTCACTTTTATTAATGGTATTATAATTGATTTTTCGTCTTTTTTCGATTCAATAATCCGGGTGCCCTGAATTTGATTATCATCAATCGATGTAACAAAATCTATTTCACCTTTTTCATCATTATCATGATCAACAATATCGATGAGATCATTTTGTATCTGTTTTGTTGTTAATAAATTTGTTTTAGGTTTAGCAATCTTTTTGAATGCAAAACCAGTCATTTTGAATGGTGTTGTTGTTGCTTTATTTTCATCATTTTCACCTGATTTATCTTCATCAGCCATCATTATTAAATGGATGATGTGATTTGATGAACACAATATTTACAAGGACAAGGTAGTGGACTAAAACAAAAAATTTTTACAATTTCAACCAAATTTGTCTCATAAATTCGGATAGATGATTTTAGTTTTTGGCAAACAGAAAAAAATGACGAAATAAACAAAAAGCTCAACGAATGAAAAAAACATCAACACAATTACGGTTAAATAACGTGATCATCACACAAAAATACGCGTAAATAAATCACGGATGATTTACGCTATCGATAACGCCATCTATATTTTAATCAACAAAATAATTGTCGTCTAAATCTACCTATGAGGCGGTCTCCACTATTTATGCCGAGAATATTTCGACAGCAACAACCACCACCACTGTTCGAATGTCCCTCCCAATTTTTGTTCCATTCGCTCTCTCTCTGTCTGTCTATCGTTCATCACACAAAGGTTAAAATTATTGTATGAAATGTTTGATGATGATCATGATGATTGTCGTATTATAAGAGATGCATGTGAATGAGTAACTCACTTTACCTGTCTGGTCGATTGTGATTTTTGTCTAAATTGGTGTAGCTCTTCCCAATTCAATTATTGCAGCATTCACAATATATTACACACACATACAGGTAATATATATTTTGAGTCGTCGTCGTCGTCGTTGTTGTCATCGTCTTCTTTTGTCAACGCTAAGATATTCTTTAGTAGTGGTAGTGTGATAGTGGTAATAGTGGATGATACAATCTAAGAAAGTGTTATCCGCATTCGAATTGAAAAAAATTTGCTCAAAACTTTTAATATTTTTTTCCTTATTTCATTCACATTTGCCTCCCCTTTATTCTCATCATCATCATGTTCAATTTGATATGAATTTTGTGCGTTTTTTTCTATAGTTTAGATTCTCCCTTATTAATTAGAAGCAGAAGCAGCTTGAAGGAGAAGAAAGAGAATTCTAACAGCAACAGGCATCTTCTTTTTCATTTTATCAGAACACAACACCCGATCCGTAAATAATAAAAACACCGAATGGTGGTGAGCCCGTTTATATTATTAATTATATTCTGTGCCCATTCCAACAAAACAAAAATTCTGTGATTTTTATTTTTGAAAAAAATTTATCATTTACGGCTTTCTTCCCCGGAATAAATTCTCACTTGTCTTTTTCTTTCCCACTTTATCATCACTACAATAATCATCAAATCATAGTCTCAAACATTGTGAAACGAAAACGTTATTGCAACGTTTCTCCATTAATCATCATCATCATCACCAACCAATAACAACCAAAACAAAACAAACCAAAAATAAACATGTATACAGTACATTCAGCATTTATCCTGGATCAACCCAAACAATTATCACATCATTAATTGATGATGTAATCAAGATGCAAAAATAAAAGTCTATCTGGAAAGCCAAAAACTTTGAAAAATATTCCAATTCTTTCTATACATTTCTTTGGATGATTCATTCATTCATTTTTGGAAGAATTTAATCAAATCTATAGCAACGATCTCCGATTTTTATCTACTCTGTTTTGTTTTTCGCTGATGAACAAAAAAAACTTTTCAATAAATGTAAAAAATGGGTAACTGTGTAACATCGGAAGAATCGAATAATTTTCTTACAAATTCAAAAGAATCTTATTGTGATCAAGTGGCAAGATCATCGCAGAATTCGAAATTGGATTCAAATTTACATCGAAATTCGATACAAACATCATCACAAAATATAAATAATAAATCTAGTACATCTACTAATCATGATGTAGTGAATAATTCCAAAGCTCAATCATCAACAGCGGCCGGAGCTGGTGCTAGTGCTGGTGCATCCGTTTCCAATTCATCCAAACATTTAAATAAAATAGTCATAGCATTATATAATTATTTTGCCAGTGATGAAGGTGATCTTAGTTTTCGTAAAGGTGATCGTCTGCAAATTGTTGATGATACTGATCCTGATTGGTGGCTAGCCAAACATCTTACAACCAATCAAAAAGGTTACATTCCAATGAATTATGTTGTATCCGAAATAATTGAAATGGAAGAGTAAGTTTTTTTGTTTGTTTTGTTTAGAATTTATCTTTTATTAATTTTCCTTGTTATTTGTTTAGCTGGTTTTTTGGTAAAATATCACGAAGAGAAGCGGAAAAATTATTACTTTGTCCAAATAATCCCAGAGGAACTTATCTAATTCGTTATAGTGAACAAACTGCCGGTGCCTATTCATTATCAATCAAAGATGTTGATCAACAAAAACGTGAACATGTTAAACATTATAAAATCAAAGCAATGGATAATGGTGGATTCTATGTAACAACAAGAAAAACATTCAGTTCATTACAAGAACTTGTTGCATATTATTCCGAAAGTGCTAATGGTTTATGTCATGTATTAACAAAACCATGTCCAAAAGCTAAACCATGTTTATGGCCATCGAAAAAAGATGAAATCGATCGTGATGATTTACAATTTGTTCGTGAATTAGGTGGCGGTAATTTTGGCAAAGTATTTTACGGTACATATCGTGGCCAAGTTGAAGTAGCAATCAAAATGCTTAAACCAGGTACAATGTCACCGCAAGCATTTCTAGAAGAAGCAGCTATTATGCGAAAATGTCGTCATGAAAAACTTGTACCATTATTCGGTGTTTGTTCACAGGGTGAACCATTATTGATTGTTACCGAATTTATGTGCAACGGTAGTCTTTTGGATTATCTACGAAAACGTGAAGGAAAATTATTAAAAATCAATGATCTTCTCGACATGGCTGCACAAATAGCCAGTGGTATGGCATTTCTTGAAAGTCAAAAACTTATTCATCGTGATCTTGCTGCTCGAAATATTTTGGTTGGTAAAAACCGTATCGTTAAAGTTGCTGATTTTGGCCTAGCTCGTGTTATCGAAGATTCCGAATATACAGCCAGGCAAGGTGCTAAATTTCCCATCAAATGGACTGCACCTGAAGCAGCGCTATATGGCAAATTTTCAATCAAGTCCGATGTTTGGAGTTATGGTATTTTACTATATGAACTTATAACTCATGGACAAGTACCTTATCCAGGTAATTTTTGAAATTGACTTTTTAAAAATTGTTTTAATAATTTGTTGTTTTATATTAGGAATGCATAATCGGGAAGTTATTGAACAAGTTGAACGTGGTTATCGTATGCCTAAACCAACAAATTGTGAATGTTCCGATTCTGTTTATTCAATAATGCGACAATGTTGGGATGCTGATCCTGAAAAACGACCTACATTCGAATATTTATATGGTTTTTTCGATGATTTTCTTGTTGCTGCTGAACCAAATTATAGAGATGCTGAAGAATTCTGAAAATCGATAACAAAATCAAGCTCATTCAATCCAAAGAGATTCAACACAATTTTTTCTAATGATTTTTATCAATTTGTATTATTTTTATCTATCATCATCATTTTTTTGAATTTGTGTTCTTTTTATTCTATATTTTTCTTACGCTTGTCTTCTATCTTCTATCTACATCTATATATTGTGATCCATTTTGATATGTACATAATCAGTAATAACTATTATTACCATCATCATCAACCACATCGACAACTACCGAAAAACAAAAACAAATCAAGGCAACTGTATTAATTGTAAATATATCGTATACTTTGACAAAATTTTCCTTTCTTGTTTATCAAATGTCAAGTCAATGATAATGATGAACGAAAACGACGAAAAAAATAATTTTTTTTAATTTGTAAAATTTATTAAAAAACAAAGTATTTTATATTTGGAATTTTATAATATTCATCTTGTAAATAAAATCAAAGAATTTCAAAAAAAACAATGTCAATTCATAAAGTACGTTACGCTGTGTGTCTGTTTGCATGCTCACACATTTTTCCACTTCCTTTCTTGCTTCGGCATCGCCTCGTGTTCAATTGGAAAAATTGATATTTTGTAAAATTTTGTTCCAAAAAATCAACTAATTAATTTCAAAATGGCTGAGTAAGTTAAATTTATTGAATTTTCAAGGTTAAACTAATTGTTTGATTGATTCTGTTTGAATAAAGACCACTCGATTTGAATACAGCATTGCAAGAAGTTTTAAAAACTTCATTAACCCATGATGGTCTTGTAAAAGGTTTACATCAAGCAACCAAAGCATTGGATAAGTAAGTTATTCCATATCTTTGAAGAGATTTTTTCAAAATCTTTTTTTCCACCCAATCTTAGACGTGAAGCTTTGCTTTGTGTATTAGCTTCGAATTGTGATGAACCAACATATATCAAATTGGTTGAAGCACTTTGCGCTGAACATAAAATTGATTTGGTCAAAGTTGATGATAATAAAAAACTTGGTGAATGGGCCGGTATGTGTAAAATTGATAAAGAAGGCAAAGCCCGTAAAGTTGTCGGATGTTCATGTGTGGTGGTGAAAGATTGGGTCGAATCAACACCTGGTCTCAATTTTCTAAGACAATATTTAAGCGAAAAAAATGTTAATGCTTAAATGCTAAATATTCAATTTTTTAAATTTTTATTGATTAATTAATTTCATAAAAATAAAAATTATGAATTAATTTTTACAAAAACATTTCATTATTCATTTTTACAACAAAAAAAACCGACAATCAAGATGATCTTGATTGTGAAATTCTAGAATGAGTTTGTCTTTGTTGTTGTGTTATAATTTTAGTTGTTGTATTATTCAATGCTGTCGATGATGTTGATATTAATGTTTGAACCATTTGTCCTTGGCTATTGGTAGTGATATATTGTGCGGGTAATAATATTTGTTGATGATGATTAGATGATTGATTCTGTATTAATGTTTGATATTGTTGTGATGACAATGTTATTGGTAATTGTTGTACTGTTAGGGGAAATAACAAGAATTATAACGATTCTATTAATTTAATTTTAGATTACCTTGAGAATTATGATTAACAATTTGTTGAGCATCATGATTTTGATGATTAGATGTCGATGATGATGATGATGTTGTTTGAACGGGAACTTGAATAAGCTGGGGTGATAAAGCGAATTGATTTGGTTGATTGGGTGATGTTTGAATGATTTGTATCGGATGTCCAGCACTGGTTTGATGATGTATTGTCGGTGACGTTTGAGCAATTTGTACCAGATAATTATATTGATCTTGGTTGGCAATTTGATTTGATAAATGTGATGATGATGGTGTATCTGGTTTTTTGTTAATTGGTTTGGTTTCACGTGGTACAATATCGATAAGGAAATCAAATTGGTCATATTTAGATATGGCTGTTGATATATCATTACGTTGTAATGTTCGTCGTTTGTTTTCTTCGGTATTAATCCATGCACGTAATGATAATTCTGATATGAACATTTCAACAGCTTTGGCAAATAAGACAGGCGCTTCACCGGAGATCATCTTTATAATGGCAATTGAAACAAAATGAACTTCAAAATGAAATATTTTACATTACAAATACCTTGACATCTTCATCTAGTTTCATTATCTTTTTGATTCGAGCTAACGGCAATTCTTGATTTCGGAAATCATTCTAAAAAATCATCAAGATTTCAATTAAAAATTAATCAAAACAAAAGAAATTGTTACATACACAGGTTGTATTCTGTACGGATAACAATTCACGCTTCCAAAATGTTTCCAACATTTGTATGGCTTCAGTTGAAACATTTTTCGATATTGAATCCATTGTTTAGAATAAATTATTAAATCTAGAATCTGATGGTAATTATTTGACAAAATTAATAAACTGATTCAACATCAATCAATACAAAATGAGCACACAACTCAAATCAATACACTTTTCTCAAAGTGTTAATAACCGCAGCAAGACCATTCATAAAGTATGTAACAAAATTTTTATTCACAAATTTTCAAATTTTTCGAATGAATGCATTTTGGAAAAAATTCAATTCATTATTCTAAGGTCATATGGTATATATTTTATGTAAAAAATATCTAAAAATTCAATATTGTTGAAAGGAGAAAAAATTGTTATGAATTATCGATAGAATCGCGAATACCATCATGATGAATAGAAAATGTAGCATCACCTTCGGGTAGATTTGGTGAATCATAAATTCGACAAACACGATTTTCACCTTTTCCCTTTTTCAAATATAAACGTGTTGTCGATGCATGCGCCAATATATGGCCACCGATTGGTTTTTTATTATCGGCACTAAACATAGCACTTGCATCAACATTGGCTACAACTTGATTGGTTATAACCACAGCAATACCAAATTCATCGGCTAATCTTTGTAACATACGCAGAAATCTTGCCAGATGCATTTGACGTGCAGCTAATTCTGAACGACCATTATAATCGGTACGATATAATGCTGTTGCTGAATCGACAATCATTAATGCATAACGTGATTGTGACATCATTGATGATGCATCAACCAATAATTGGGTTTGATGGTCACTATTATATGCTCTTGCATAGGCAATATTATCTAAACAGGAATTTTCATTTACTTTATATCTTTGTGCAATGGCAACAAAACGTTCCGGACGAAATGTTCCTTCCGTGTCAATGAATAGGCATTTTCCTTCGGCACCACCCATATCGAACGGTAATTGACATGTCACTGAAAGCATATGACAAAGTTGAGATTTTCCCGTACGAAATTCACCAAATAATTCAGTAATGGAGCCTGTTTCAATTCCACCTTGATGTAGAATAATTTTTTGTTGGTTATACACATTGAAAAACCACAAACCAAATGTATTTGCAAACCTTTCAGTAGAGCATCCAAATCTTTTGAACCGGTAGTTATCAGAACAATTTCGGAACGTTTTAGATGATATTCAGTCGCGGTTGAAAAACCCATTGGTACTAATTTCATGGCAGCATTCTAAACATAGATGAAAAATGAGGCAATTTTTCGACATTTATCTTTTAACTAAAGACTTACGATAATTTTTTCGGCTTTATTTTCACTAATTCCTTTGATTTTTTCCAATGCTTTTCTTGGAGTATAGGCAATCGCTTCGATAGTATGAAAGCCATATTCTTGTAATTTTTTAATATCCAGTGCTTGTATACCACATCCCTGAAACAAAATTAATTTTAAAAAGTTCAATCATTATCATTTTCAATCAAAAAAGAAAACAACAAACTTCTAATTTTTGTATGGGTGTAAAAGCGGCTTCAAATTCTGCTTCATCTTGAACACCATTTTCTTCAACAATATTCACTACTTGTTGTTTTTCTTTGGTGGTACTCATTTTCTTCAACAATAAAAAATTCGAACGAATTATTAGAAAATACTCAAATCGAATGTCATCATCGTTTGTTTCAACATAAATAATTTTAGCGCTAATTCGAATCACATTCGATACAAATTATTTCAACCCGACAAGTCATCTTTCGGTTGAAATAGTCAATTTTGAATTTTCAAATTTTATCAATTTTGTTTTATTTATTTGAAACACACAATAATATTTTATTCAAGATTAAACATTTATTTGGTTAGATTCAGACAGATAACAAAAATTAATATGTTCCCAATGAATCTTCTTTGTCATTGTGAACTTTCTCGAAAAACATGAAATCCTATTGAAAAAAAATAAATTAAAACATGATTTGAAAAAGATTTTAAACAAAAAACTTACAATCAAAAATGTTGCACCTAACAATACAGCTTTGATCGAAACATCTAGATCTCGTGGAAACTTGACACCAAAGTGATCGGCATCGGTAAACATTTCTCTTACTAATCCACTCCACTGTTTACTAATTTTACCAACTTGTGTTGTGCCATCATTCGATACAACATTGAATTTGACATTACCACAACAGCATGAAAATGTTAAAAATGGTCCTTTTATGCGTAATACTTTTTTGCCAGTTGCATTCAAAATGCTAAAGGCCGGACAACAAACTGTCCATTCTTGACGAACCGATCCCAATTTGTATTCCCCACTATAAACATCTAATTTCTGTTTTAATTGGATTAAAGATTCAAAATTCTTCAACAACAGCAACAAACCTGTAAACAACATGGAAACAGGCAACTATTGCAACGCCAAGGACGATCTAAACGTATAATTTCATTTCGTCGAGAATCATATAAACGCATTACGAATGGTCGATATTTACTAAAACAATTTCGAGTACAACAATCATTCTCTAAATCAAGTTCAATTAAGATTATTTTTATAAAAAAATTATTACAACCAATATACCTTCAGTTGCATAATACAATTGTTGTCCATCTATATTTTTAACAATATAACTATTGTTCGTTTCAAAACCAGCAAGTACTGTTTGGGAAACGATAAATCAATAAAATCAAGTTTTATTGAAAAATATCATTATTTACCTTCAAACATTTCAACCTGTTGTTCAATAATCAATTGATTTAATGTTAATAAAATTTCTAATCCTGGTGGCACACTCGGATCTGCATATGTTTCAAAAGGAGCTGATATGAAATTGAAAAGGTAATGTGAAATCAAATCAAATTAACTATCATGTTTACCATATTGTTTGAGTGGTGTATATGAATTCATTGGTGTCTGACCATCAGTTTGTGGTGATTGATAATGACCAGTAGGCATTATTGGATATGGTTGTGATTGTGATTGTGTTTGTCCCATATTATTATTATATCTTTGTGATGGATAACTAATCAACAAAAACTATAAAATTTTGGCTGAATTTATACCAACCAAAAAATAATAAATCAATTAGAGAATTTTATTTATTTATTTGAAACACACAAAAAAATATAATTTTATTCAACATTAAACAATGTTTTTGGTTAGATTCACAGATTACAGGTAGGTAACAAGTATTAATTTGTTTTTTTCAAGTTGCAGATCAAATTTGGCTGTTTAACTTTTTATGTTTTTGGTTAAGAACAAGATCAAAGTGAATATGATAAAAGTAAATTGGTTTCGAAACAATAACAACATCAATAGAAACAGATAGATTTATCTGTTACCCTTTTCGAAAAACATGAAATCCTATTGAAAAAAATTGATTAAAACACGATTTGCAAAAGATTTTAAACAAAAAACTTACAATCAAAAATGTTGCGCCCAACAATACAGCTTTTATTGAAACATCCAGATCGAGTGGAAATTCAATACCAAAACGATCAGCATCGGTAAACATTTCTCTTGCTAATCCACTCCATTGTTTGCTGATTTTACCGATTTGAGTTTCACCATCGTTCGATTGAATAGCGAATTCTACATTACCACCACATGAAAATTTTATCAACGGTCCTTCAATGTGTAATACTTTTTGGCCGGTTGCATTTAAAATACTGAATACAGGATAACAAATTGACCATTCTTGACGAATCGAACCCAATTTGTTTGGACCACTATAAACATCTAATTTCTGTCATCAAACATTTCATAAATTGAATTGCATTTTAAAAAAATTCTTCAACAAACCTGTAAAAAGCATGGAAACAGACAACTATTACAACGGATAGGGCGTTCGAAACGTATTATTTCTTTTCGTTGATTATCATATAAACGCATTACGAATGATCGTATTTCACCAAGACAATTTCGAGTACAACAATCATTTTCTATTCAAGTTTTCATAAGACAATCAAACGAGAAATTCAAAGATGAATCAAACATTCATTTTAATCAACATACCTTCAGCAGCATAATACAAATGCTGTCCATTCAAATTTTTAACAATATATTTATTGTTTGTTTCAAAGCCAAGGAATGCTGATTACAGGAAAAAAGCAATCACATTATTTGAGAAACAATTCTTCCAATCATTATTTACCTTCCAGCATTTCAACCTGTTGTTCAATAATCAACTGATTTAATGTTAATAAAAGTTCCAATCCTGGTGGTACATTTGGATCTGCATATGGTCCAAAAGGAGCTGATATGAAATTCAAACCAAATAAAATCAAATAAATTATCAATCAACATCCAATTATTTTACCTTGTTGTGGTGCCATTGGTGGGGGATAAAAATTCATTGGTGGCTGTTGCATAATTGGTGGTTGACCAGGTCCATTGGGTGATGATTGGTAATAACCCGGTGGTTGTTCTTGTGATTGCCCCATATTATTATTATAGCCAACTGTTCCTGGTGCTGGATAACTAATCGTTTGATTTAATGGTGGATATCCACCATAATTTTGGCTAAATTTATCAAAAAAAATTGATAAATTAATAAAATAATTAATACATTGTATTTACGCCCTTAGCTTACTTTGTCGGATTATACATTATCCAAAAAGATGAAACAAAAGAGATGATAAATAACGAGGAAAAAACACTCGACTGATTTTTTTTGATTTGGAAAATGTTGCAATAATAATAGCGAATATTTCTCTGTTATGAATCTTTGGTTTTGTTGTTGTTGGTTGTTTATCTATCAAATATCTACTGACTGCTGTTGATAGATGGTGACGCTCGTCTGATATATTCGTGTGATTCATTTTTTGCATTTTCGGAATTTGTCGCATTACGTTTCGCAAACGTTATCTACCTACATCCAGTCCCTCAATATATGGATGGGCGCGTCAAACCTGAATGATAATGACAATGCGCATCATTTGATTATTTCCAAGGAAAAGAGAAAAACAAAGCAAATTAAGCAAACACACTTGATATTTTGATCGATCGATGACTAACCAATACAAAATGAATGACGTTTATTTCAATTTTAAAAGAAAATATACAAAACAAATTAAAATAATGATTTTTTTAGCTCATCATACTCCTGCTTTTTGGCCAATTCTTGTTCGCGAAGATCATCAATAATGGATTGAAAACGTTGTTTCAAAGCCATATTTTCAATACTGTCCAAATCTGTTTGTTGTTGATGTCGTTGGGTTTGTAGATTAAATATTTCCTGTTCTAATTCTTGTAATTTTAATCGAATGGATTCATTTTCAAGATTTTTTGTTAAACTATATGATGCTTCATTGTTTTCTTCACAAGCAGCATCAGCAGCAGCGGCTGATGTTGAATAATCATAAACATTGGTTGATGATGATGATTGTTGTTGTTGAGAAAATGCTTGTGAAAAGGAAAAATTCTTATTATTGTTATCTGAATCAATTTTAGTATCATTATCATTATTATCAACATTATGATCACGTAGATAATCACGGAATGTACCGGACATACGGCTACCTTCATCCGAATATCCTAAACGTTCATCATCATCATCATCGCTGGAACTGACAACATCACCAAAAAGATCACGATCATCTAATGCTGAATTGGTTGCATTTGCCGCTGCTGTGGATGATGATTGATCCTTTTCTTTCGGATCGGTTTTGTTCTCTTCTTCAATGTTGACAATTTCAAAACGTACATTAGTAGCTTCATTATCTTGTCGTAATAGACGTTTAACTTCTTTTTCAATTTCAGGAAAATCTACATATTTTTTTCGCAATGTTTTACGAAATCTTCTTTTACGTACATTTTTCAAAGGTTTTGTTATACCATGTGGATATAGATATTTTTTATCTCGTCCATCTTTAGTCTTTTTAACAACTTCATCTGGATCTTCTTTAACAATTTCATCGGTTTCTTCCTTACAAATCATCATCTGACTTATATCGGCTGTTTTATAGAAATTTTTATTGTCCAATGTCTTTAATGATTCTAAAATGGTCGGCAAATCAACAATTTTAGCCGGCAATACCCAACCATCAAATCGAACAATGCCATTTCGTATATCCTGATCAATTTGAATCGATAATCGATCTTTAAGATTTAAAACACCTATACAAAAAAATTTTATCATTCATGATTAGCGATTCAAAAAAAATTCTTTACCTGATTTTATAGCTGCACGAAGCGATGCAGCCGGCAATGAAGGTAAACGTAATATAAATTGTGATTCTAATTCAAAATTATCATTTGTAGAATCTAATTTTGGTTGTTCTTCGAGAGGCATTTTTGTTTTTTCGTTGGTAAAAAAAAAAATTCAAAATTTTTGTTTTGTTTGGGGATTGATCAAAATCGAGTAAACTCAATCGAATGACACGTCGTTTGTGAACAATACACTAATTTTGAGCGTTAAAATTTTTATTCATTCGATCGAATATTTTCTGGATCGACGTAAATAATGAAATAATTTTTTGGATGTAAAATTTTCAAATCAATATTTCAAAATGGCAAGACATTCAAGAAATTCATCAAAACTTTCAACATCCCAACAACCACAAACACCGGGTAAATCACGACTATTACGATCAAGTTTAAAAGTATGTATATTTTGAAAAAGTATCATTAATAATGAAATCGAAATCACAAATAAATATAGAATTCATCAGGGGAAAAATCATCAACTCTAAGACGTCGTTATCGTCCCGGTACGATTGCATTACGTGAAATTCGGCGATATCAAAGTACCACACATCAACTTATTCCTCGTTTACCATTTCAACGTATTGTTCGTGAAATTGCACAATCATTAAAAGATACATTGCGTTTTCAGCCATTAGCATTGGAAGCCTTACAAGAAGCTGCTGAATCTTATCTGATAGTTTTATTTGAAGATGCCAATCTGTAAGTTTTAAAAAAAATTTCATTCAACAATAAAAATCATTTGGTTTCTAACTCAATATAGTTGTGCCATACATGCTCGCCGTGTTACAATCATGCCAAGAGATATAAATCTGGCCCGACGTATACGTGGAAATAATTAATTGTCAATATTAATCATCATTATCATCATAATCGACATTATATTTATTCATTTCAATTTGATAACCATATCGTATATATAAATGTTCATTTTTTTGTTTGAAAAAAAATATTTTGGAATAAAATGAATCAAAAGTTTAATTGAAAAAAATTCAATCATAAAAATCGATGTGCTGCTGCATCCAAATGATGATGATGTGATGGAACGTTTAAAAGTGGTTCGAAAGCCGCTGCAATGGGATGATGATATTGTTGTGGATGTTGTTGATGATGATGCTGTTGCTGTTGCTGTTGTTGTTGAACATACATAGCATGAACATAATAATTTTGCATATAGTGATTTTGAGCTGCCGCTACGGCAGCTGCCATTGTTTCCGATTCATTTGTCGTATCAGTTGCGGTTGTTGATATCGTACCAGATGATTGATTATTGATAATCGGTGGTGATGATTGACGATGATGATTTTGTTGATGTTGTCCATCAATATTCGATGCCAGTGATAGTGATGATGGAGATGATGATGATGACGATGAAGAAGAAGAAGACGATGACGATGAAGAAGATGAGGATAATAAATCCGTTACCGAATGTGATGATGGCCAACCACCAATCGTTGTTGTTGTTGATGATGATGATTTCATTGTAACTAATTTTTGACGAACAACAAAAATTATTTTCAAATCAAAAAAAGCAAAATCTATTAAAAATTTACCGACGGGTATATTTGGCGTTGATGAATGATGATTATGCAATTGATGATTTGAATGAATTAATGCTTGTGCTGCTGCTGCAGCTGCGGCGGCGGCAGCAGCGGCTGCCGCTGTTGTTGATGATTGTAAAGATGAATGATGATTGTGATGATTTGCTGTTGTTATTATAGTGGGTGTTGTGATTGTCATCATTTGTGATGATGTTGTTGCTTGTGAACAATGATGATGATGTGAATGATGTGGATGATAGCCATGGTATAATGATGAAGGATGCGGTGGCGGCTGAGGCGGATGTGAATGATGATAAATAGCATTCATAACATGACGAACATTTTCTTTACTTTCGATCATCGAATGATTGGGATTTGATGTAAATTGTTGTTGTTGTTGATTCGATGTTGCTGTTGATGAAATATCAGTGATTGGAATCGATAAATTAGAAATAATGGATGATGATGATGTTGTATGAAGATGATGCTCATTATCATCATTAACAGTATTCGATGATGATTGATGATGGTGATTTGCATTCATTTTATTTCGCAAAATTCGACTAATTAATGAATGAAAGATTAATTCAATCAAATCAAATCAATCAAATGATTACCTAATACTACTAACGGACGGAACATTAAATTTATCGCAAATGCCATCATGCAATAATTTATCACGAATTTCCCAGGCGAAAATTCCTGGTTCTTTATTTTTCAATTCTTTAATATAGGATACCACCTATATATCAAAATTGATAATGATCATTTTTATTATTGTTATTTCATTGAAAAAATATTACTTTAGGTGTTGTAACGCGTGGTTTACTACCACCAATTGTACCGGGTAGAATGGAACCAGTTTCATGAAAACGGGATAATATTTTCGATACACAACCATGTGATACACGTAATTGCCTACTAATATCACATGGTCGTACACCCATTCGTGATAATTCAACAATTTTCAAACGAATTGTATTCGGTAATGGTCGACCATTTACAAATACACCACCCAATTGATTTACTTCACCAAAACCTTGTGATTCTACCAAGAAACGAAGAAAAGAGAAAGTTTTTTTTTTGAAAAAAATCAATCTTTATAATGGCATTTTAGTCAAAAGAAATCATAGCATCATCATTAATTTTTTCCATTGAAAAAAAACATCCGTTTTGTCATTCGATCCATGGATGGTTCGAATGGATTCTTGTTAAAATCAAACAAACATCCTGAAGCAAAAAGTTGGAAAAAGCAGAAAACTTACCAAAATATAAATCATGTTCAATTTTGATCTGAGCAGCGGAAGTTCCAACTGTAACCATTTTTATATTGTTGCAAGTTAATGACAAGAAAAAAGCGATTAATTTTTTCAAAAAAATATTTCATCAAATATTCAATTAACCTAAAGTATGAAAATGATTGGATGCCATTTTTGTTGCAGCAAAACAAAAAAAAATATTAAACAAGAGGAAAGAATCACTCTGAACAAATTCGAAAATGACGATGAGGAATATGATGATCAAAAACAAACGAAACGAAACGAAACAAACGAGTCACATCACTGCAAAAAAGAACAAGAATTTTCAACCAACCATCATTTTCATATCTCAATTCTTTATTTTCTTCACAACAAAGTTTTAGTTTGCTAAATTAGACTACACTAACCATATCTTTTTCTTTTCTTTTCTAATAAGCTGTCTTATGGCTGAATTAATTTTTATTCAATTTTTTAAGCTTTAAATAAACATCACTAAACAACAACAACACCAAGAACATCCGAAACAAATTGAACAAGTAAGAAAAAAAGATATATTTAAATATATTCAAATAACCATCGCATTTATATCACTAAATGATACAGTTTTCAACCAAAAACCAAGAAAAATTCAAACTATAACAGAAAGCGCCAATTCATCATCATTTCTCTTGTTTTCCTATTGGATAAAATCATAGCAATGGGGGGCAGGTGATTCCTTTCAAAATGTTCAGTTGAAGGAAGCGTAAGAGGTGGTGCTTATGTGTTTTTGTGAGCAAATCATTTGTGATGGTAGGAGGAGTCTAGACCACAGTTCATCATGATAACGAAAGAAAAAATGAATGGAATGATTCAGATGATAAAGATTGTACAGTAGTGATAATTTTTTCGTTTGTTTGCAAAAAATGATGACATTTTAAATTTTTTTTAAATTTTTTTTAATAACTTCCATTGAAATTAATGAGAACATGATTGGTACATTAATAACAAAGATCATTTGATTTTCGACATTTTGAATTAGTTTTGAATGTTTTTTGTTTATTTATTTAGCTAAAATTTTAGGTTACAGGTAACCGAAATTTATCTAATTAATTTGATTGTTTTGTTTTGCTTTTATGAGAAATATGAACTTTGTTCACCTTTTTTTCTGTTTTGTTTTGTTTTGATAACAACAAAATTCATTTACCTTGTTGGGTGGGCTAATGAATTTTTATTTGAAAAAAATCCCTAATCAAAATAAACATTCAAATTCAAAATGTTCAAATCAATCAATTTTTTTGCTTTTGACATTCTTGGTTGGGAAAAACAACGTAGATCCAAATCAGATTAATGGCAAGCAAATGATGCTTGATCAGTAATTGATGAAAATTATAATTTTTATTTTAAAATAACAATCATTTTCCTATTGCTAATCACTAAAAATAAAAAAGCAGATTTTCTCTCAATGGTCGATTGAATTTAAACCAAAAAATGAAAAACGCTTTTATCTTCATCATCCTCATCACTAATGATCAAAACACTAAATTCAATAAGAGGCATATTCAAATGGATTTTTATTCTTCTTCGTTCGTTCGAGATCAAACATGGAACATTTGCCATAACTTACAAAAACTACCAAAAAAACCAAAAAACCAATCTATCACCGAAATGGCTTTACAAAGACATAAACCAAACTGCCAATAATAATAATCATTTAAAAATGTCAAAAAAGCAAACATCGAACTAAAACAGGCTAACATTCACAACAACAAAAAATTGTAATTCAACACTGACCAACCAAATGAAGTGTGTGTTTGGGGCAAAGGGAAGAAAGGACACAAGTTCATCAAACAACATTGGATACACACACAACTACATACGATTTATTCAAAAAACCCGTGTTTATGTGGTGTGGACACATTGTTTTTACAATGATCATAATTTATTGAAACCAACAAAGTCCATAATGACTAACGATGAATGAATGAACATCAGTCATGTTGTGTCCATGTCCATTTCATTTTTTTCTTGGTCTTTTTTTTTGGCGAAAAATTGTGGTCATTGGACTGACTGATAATTCATATTTCTTTTTCAATCAATAAAAATATGAAAAAAAGTAAGAGGCTCGAATTAAAACACAAATAAAAACAAAAAAAAATGTAAATCATTCAACTGGTCTTTTTCGCCTCGCAAAAACAATCTCACATTGTTCACAACACATAAAGAAAACATAGTTTTTGCGAACAAAAATTAAGAAAATATCTTCAAAAAGAATCAAATAACATGGAAATGATGGAAAATATATAATTTTAAAAAAGGGGGATGGATAACCGTAGAGTGAAGGAGGGAACAACAACAATAATAATATAGAGGTGCTACATTTATTTGTTAAATTGAAATGTTCAACGAAGCAATAAATGTCGATGACAAGACATCATTTTATCATCATCACCATATCACACATCATTATTATCCAAATAGAGATAGAGAAGTGACTTACCTTATTCTTGGCGATGATGAATATGATACGTCGAATGTTAAAATGTTAACATCAAAATAAGAATTTGACAACAACAACATCTTTGATTGGATTGTGAAAAATATAAAGATCAGGATTACACTTTATCATCACCACCACCAAATCAAGTCAGCCATCCATTCATTCATTCATTCAAATAATTAAGCTACATGTTCCGAAATGTTGAAAAGTGATTAAGTGATGATGCACTCTATTTTTCTTCTTTTTTTCTTTTCAGTTTTGGTGATGTTTTTTTCTGAATGAATGATGAATATTCATTTTGATGAACACATATCCATATCAGCACAGCATACTTAGTAAAATTGCTAATTATTGTATGTACCGAGAAAAAGTGATGATTTGGTTGTTGTAGAGTTTGAAAATTGGCTCATTTCGTATTTCATCATTTTGTTCACACGATCTATACGGAGAAAATGTCTTTTCCAAGCATCATTATTCTGATAAAAATGATGATGATAATGTTGTCCAAATTCTGGATCGGATTCGGGCATACAACAAACCAAGCAAACCGAAAAAAGATCATTCTGTGTTTATCTATCTGAATTATAGACAATTTTTTTCCATTTTCTCATTGTTCGGTTGTCGTCGACGACGACATCGTTTTTCGCCTTACATCATAATCATCATCATTATGTAAAGAATCGGCAAAAAACAGAGAGAAAGAGAACCATTTTTCTTCAAAATCCAGATGTTTTGTTCATTAAAAACGATGAACAAAAACAACAATGTTGGCTTTTTATTATTAACCGCCGCATACATACATATCATCACCCATATCATCATCATCAGTTTTCTTGTTCGTCAACAAACGATATTTGTTTGTTGTTGTCTCCGTTAGAAATAGCAATAATATTTATAAATGAAAATAATGATGATGATGAAGAATATGCTTAGATAATTAAATTATAGCCGGCCATGATTCTTTTGGAGGATTTTTTTCGATTCCGATTCAATTAAAAATGAAATCATAATCATAATAAGTCGGCATTCTTAATCTTTGAGAATTGTTTCGTTTGCGGAAATGTTTGTATATAATGCGAACAAACATCACTCGTTTGTTTGTTCAAATGATTTTTTATCGACCAGAATCAGAAAAATCAATCAATGTCACCAGTGTTTGGTTGACAATGTTTTTTCAATTTTGATTTTTTGCCTTTTGAGAAAATCAATTTTTTCAAAGAAATATGACATATTTTTTGACATTCAGAAAATTAAAATAATCAAATTGTAAAATCAAAAATCAATGATCAAAGATGTTTTTTGATCATGATGACAATGACAGGCAGAATGACAAATGAAATTGACAAAAGAAAAATGTTCCCTTTTGACAGATTTTATCAAAAATAATTTCCGTCGTCGGTCATTTCTCGCGCCCATCATTCGAATGATAAAATATTATTTTTTGGAGAAAAAAAGAGTTCCGATCCATGGATGATTATTGGAGGAGAAATTATGAAAAATAATAATCAATGAATATTCAACCCTATGACAATGACCAAAATTACTGCTGTCTAGACAGATAATGTTTCATCTTCCAGACTAGCCGGCGACAAACCACCAACATCAGAAAAAATGTATTTTTTCCATATTTGCTTTCGCGGTTTATTAAATCACACACAAAGTTTGTCATTCACACCACCACTGTAGATGACATTTCTTGGTTGTTTGATGATACAGTTATTGATATGGATTTTTGTTTTTCTAAAATGAATTATGACCACCACCGCGTTGATATTGATCATCATCAACAATGATCATTATTTTCATTTCGTTTTTTGGTGGTGTCAAATTAATTGTTATTTTTTTGAAGAAAAAGATCATGTTTTTTCAAAAAATAATGTCATATGTCATCATCATATACTTGCAACAAAAAAGTATCTGGCTCGCCATAGCCGAATGATGGAATGTGACAAACAAACAAACACCGACCGACAAAGGTCAATTTGAATTTGTTATTAAATTTTATTTTAACCATAATTTTAAACGTAAAGCATCCACACCATTAAGATAATAGCGAAATAACCGTTTATCACGTATAAATCCAAGATTTTCGTATAGAATTAATGCCGAACGATTGGTTACTTCAGTTTCGAGTACAACTTCATCGGCATTCAATTCGATCATAACCTGGATTGCTTTCATAACTAAATTCGAACCAATTTTACGTTTGCGATAATGCTCATCAACGGCCAGCATTGCAATATAACCACGTAATAATTTTCTTTTTTTATAATCCAATTTACAAACTATTGCTCCAACGCAAACATTTTGATCCATAGCCTATTTATATTTGGAAAAGGGAAAATTTTTAAAAAATGTTTTATTGAAAACCAATTCAATAATATTTACAAGAAAACATAATTGTGGCCAATTATGAATAAAATAACGATATGTATAAATTGAATAAGGTTCGGATAAATCCTTTTGTATCAAACGCATTATATCGGGCATCTGTGTTTCATCCTTGTAACTAATATATTCAATCGATGAAGACTGTTGTTGTTGTTTTTGTTGATCATCCACATTATTCGATAGCGAATCATTTAATAAATTGATTTGACCGAAATCATTCGTCAAACTTGTTATGGTTGTAGATGGTTGTTCATCATCATTATCGTCGTCGTTATTCATTGCACAGAGATGATGTTTTGATAGAAACTAACTAAACTTTCAAAATGAATCAATAAAAAAATCGAATGTGAAAATGAAAATTCCGATTCAGCTGTGTCACATAACCTAGTGACATCTATCGGTTGCATTTACAAAACACCAAAATTTTTTTTAATTAAAAATTTTTATTTTTATTTTCTTTCGTTTGTTACAAACAAATAAAAAATCCTACTGATGATGAGAAAAAAACAATATTACAATAATACATTGTTCATTTATTAATGAGCAGCTCCTTTAATCTTTTTGATTTCTTTATAGATAACATGACGTTCGACTAAACGAATAAAATAAAAGTAGTTTGGTTAATTCAATTTGCTATCATGGGGAATTTTGGAGAAAATTCAAAAACCAAAATATACAAACCGTATGGATCATAGCGTAACATTTGAATCTCTTCTTTGATTCGTGGTCGTATAGCAACAACTTTATGACCTGAAATCAGGCTCTCCAATAGGACCATAACAAATCTTTTAGGATTTGTCAAAAAATAAAATTTATCAACCATTACCTTAAAAAGAATAACGAGAACCTTTAAATGAATACTCACTTGGATTTTCCTCCTTTAGCCATCGTTAATAATCAACGATTTACGATGATATTCGAATCGAATGATATCAAGCTTGATGAAAACATGCGATGAACAGAATGACTATTGAAACCCAAATGAACATGTAACAGTGAAAACAGTGGTTGAAAATGCCTGTCCACATGCAGATGATGATTTGAAATTCAACTTGGAAATAATTTTTTTCCAGCCAAAAAATATGACCAATTTAAGTCCCTATAAACGTGTTCAACAATGGATGGTATTCGCCAGGCAATGGTGGCTATTCGATGCTAAACAACAAGATGTATTCGATTCGGCACAAATGATAGCCCGATATTTGCATGGCCGTCATAAACCAATCTATGATACTGAACAAGATTGTGGTGATCATGTGGTTGTTATGAATGCTGCCCATGTTTCAATGCCATTCGATGAATGGCGTTATCGTTATTATTTTCATCATTCACATTATGCACGGGGCAAAAAATGGACACAAGCATATGAATTACACGCAAAAGATGCAAATCTAGTTATTTATAAAGCAATCTATAAAGCATGTGGCAATATTGGTTTAAAACGACAGGATCTCATTGCACGATTGCATATTTATCCGGATGACAATGTGCCTGATCATATAATGGCTAATATATCCGATCATATTCGACAATTACGTCCAGTACATAAATCTATTGGCGAATATTCACCTGAAGAAATTCAAAATTACCCAAAATTATTTGATTACTCAGATGATTATACAAAAAAATGATTCATTTATTACATTATTACATTATTGCCATTAAATTTTGTAATTTAGAAAAATTAGATTAAATTTTTGGGTTGTCGATCAAATTTTTCGGCCGTTCGAAGGAATGGTAAATAAGGATAAATATCGACACAGGTAATGAATGTTGCTAAATCTAATAAAAATCTAGTCGTATCGGATAACAACAAACGAATACGTGATATTTGAAATGTTCCACCAAAAAGTCTTGTTGATCGTTGTCGATGAAAATTATTAAAATTATGATCACAAACATAGGGGGTTATTAATTTTTGGCGAAAATTTTGTTGTAAAATGTTTTTGATGTCATTATTTTTGATTTGTTCAAGAATTTCGGCTGTCGATGTGGTCAGTGGATAAAATGATGGAATTGATTTTGGTTGTTGTTTGATTCGGGCTTTCCATTCGAAATTGTTTTCCGTAAATATTGCTTTTTCAAACGATTCTTGCAGATTAAAACGTGTTGGCCAACAATATTGTTTGGCTTGAACTTTTCTGGCAATTTTTACATCTCGAAAAAATTCCGTCATACGATATAGATTGGATAATGTATCATTTATATCGATTATATCCAAATTGCTTATTTCAAACAAAACAAATTAGCAATTTAATTAAATTTTTCATAAAACAAACTTACTCGATTCGTATATTCATTCGAAATGATCTGATTAGATTGAAACGTATACGTGAATAATGTAACCATTGATTCCAATTGAATAATTTATCTTCAAATCTGGTATGGCGAAATGATTGATTATGGAAATAATTCAATTCGGTTGATCCATTAAAATTGAATAAATCACGCAATATTAAGATAATGGATACAATACAAACAATATCATAACAAGGTGATATACTTTTTCCATTTATATTATCGGTAAGCGATTCATTTGAATAATAATCGATAAAACGTTCGTAACGATATCTAATCAATAATAACAGTCCATCGGGCAGATTGAGATCATAAAGATAACGTTTAATTAAACAATAAAGATTGGGTTTGGGAATGATTGAATAATCCAAATTCAAATGTATAATCATATTACGCATTATTCGAACAATTTTTCTATAATCAGGATATTTATAATCCACAAATGTTAGAACATCCATGCTCAGTATTGTTTCTTGTTTATCGAGAAAATTTTCAAATAAATTGGCAAAACGTATCGAGCCAGCATTACACCAACGAATTAGATCAGTCAAATAGATATTGAAATTAAATAAACGTATAGCCAAATAAAGAAAGACCAGAATTTTGTATTTACTAATCACTTCATTGCTAAATGGTGATGAATGTCTAGTACCCACATTACATGCATCGAATGATAAATGTTTTTCCAAATATTTCGATTTATTCGACATATGTTTGAATTTCAAACGCTTAAATTGTTCTTCATCCATTAGCAATTCGGGTTCATTATCATCATTATTATCGGCGTCATCACTATCAATGTTTGTGGGTGTGACTTGTTTTGGTAAAGAACCACCAGATGACAAATAATCATTGATGAAATTGATGAATGCATTGCCATTTTCGACAAAATTAGTTGCCGAAACAGCTTCTGTGACTAATAATTTATTAGCTTTCACTGCCTTATCACGTTTATAGGGTCCTTTGATGATTCGCATTTGATATCTTGGATCACCGCATTTATCCGGATCATTTTCATCAAAATATTTATCATTTTCATTCATTTTGATGTTTTTATATTTGCAACGATAACGATTGCCAAAACTTAATTGAAAGTTGTCATCTCTTGGCTGATTGATTGTTTTATGACGAGAATATGGTAAAATAAATTGATTATCATCATCATCCTGATTCAATAATGATGGATTGGCTAGAAGATAATTATCACGATATCTGGTTAATGGATGCAAACGAATCCTTTTTTCCATATGTTCATCAACAGCAAATGCAATATCACTTTCACGCAGATATTTGAACCATAATTGCATTGATACTGATATAAAACGTTGTTTCATTTCATTCGAGAATGGTAATCCGTTCAAATGGATTATTTTGAAAAAATCTTTAATAAATTCGATATAAATTGAATTGAATGCTTCGAATGTATTCCATGTGCTATGAATACCAATTTTATTCAAGTTTTTTGTCTGATTCGTCTTTCTTCGATCATTGCTCTGTTTGTTGATACGTATTTCTTTATGGCGAATTTCTTCGGGATATTCATCCGCAGCAACTTCTTTAGCGAATCCTTGACTTTGTGTTTGACAATGTGAACAAAATTGAAAACCATCTTCTTCATAAAATTGTTCGGATCCACATTTTTGACAATGTTCCATCATTCATTCCGAATTTCATCACCGTAATCACAAATGAACACGTGCATTGGAAATTATGGAAAATCCCTAGATGGCACTATGTGTGCAATTGCAATTTGATTTCCAGATGGAATCCAAAACCAAAAACTTGAAAGATTCCATTCGCGAATTTTGTTGACAATGAATTATTGGAATATTATCTGCAACAATTCCGAATCCGAATTGATCCATTACTGTGATGATTATCATTTATATATGTTGGATAATTGTTTTCAACAAACATTCTTAACGCTGCCAATCTATCTAGGTTTGCTAATTTATTGTTCATATCAATTAGGATTGTATAGTTATTCGACAATAACAACAAATCATCATCGTTCAATAAATCAATGGTGTCATTCGATCGGTTTATTACTTTTAATTGTGATAATAATATGCCAAATTATTCTAGTTGGCATATCGAATCTTGTCACTATAAAATTATCGACATTATTGAAAATTGTTACATTAATTATTTATTGTTTTTGGTTTGATTGCATATCACCGAGAAGATCTTCTATTAATGATAAATGGAAGAGTTATCTTTTAAAATCCTTTCTGTTCATAATAGTTTTATTGAATATTTCTGAATGTTTGACCGGCTATCTAACGATCAATCCTGATGATAATCAACGAAAATTGATTCTTTTATTTACATCATGCATTTGTTGGTTTTTACATTATTTATTATTCATTATTCAACAACGACAACAAGTCATCACAACTGGTGATGAACCATTATTATCTGATGATAATAATGAATTTGTTCTTAAATGCGATGAACTCGAATCATCAATAATATCGAAATTATTATTTCAATGGGTATCACCATTATTGGATAAAGGTCAATTGGAATCGAATCGAATCGATTCAAGTGATGATTTATTTGAATTGCCGGAATCCTTATCAGCCCAAACATCATATCAATCGATCATTAGTTATCTGGATTGTGATCAACAGAAACGTTCATTAATTGGTTATATGTTTTCAAATTTTTCAATGAAATTTGCATCATTAGGATTTTGGAAATTATTTGCCGATTCAATGAATATGTTATTTCCAATATTGTTGAATCGTTTGCTTTTGTATTTGGAAAACGCCAGTGATAATGATGAACATTCTAAAATTGGATTCTATTATGCATTTGGTTTATTATTGTGCACCATATTGAATACTGTTAGTATTTCATATTTCAATTTTCAAATTAGTAAAATATCATTGAAAATACGTTGCCAGTTGATTCAGATGACATATAATAAATTATTTCGTATTCGCTCAACGACCATGATGAACGAATTCGATACCGGACAGATATTGAATCTGGCCAATACTGATGTTGAAAGAGTTATGAATCTGGTGCCATCATTATTTCAGTTAATATCATTGCCATTACAATTATTGGTCACTATTTATCTACTTTATTTGCAAGTAAATCTGGCATTTATTTCTGCCATAATATTTATTGTGATATTGATACCAATCAATAAAATAATCTGTGATCGTATCAAAATATTAAGTGAAAAATTAATGTTCTGGAAAGATAAACGCATTCGTTTAATATCGGAATGTTTAAAGGGAATTCGCACAATCAAATTGCATTCATGGGAACCATCATTTCGGCAAAAAGTTGAAACATTAAGAAACGAAGAAGTTAAATATCTGAAATACCGAAAATATTTAGATGCATTATGTGTTTATTTTTGGGCAACAACACCGGTCATCATATCATCATTAGTATTTGCAACATATGTTTGGCTGAATGGTGATAATATGCTAACATCAAGCAAAGTATTTACAACATTAGCACTATTGGGAATGCTAATTATGCCATTGAATGCATTGCCATGGGTATTGAATGGTCTGATTGAGTCATTTGTATCAATCAAACGTCTAAATCGTTTTTATCAATTGAACGAACAAAATTGGTTGCAAGATTTATGTTGGGTTGATGATGATGAAATGTTATTGCAGTTGAATGATTGTTCATTTAGTTATGGTGATAATTCAGATCAACAACAAAATTTTGAACTTGAAAATATCAATATGAAAATATTGAAAAGAAAACCGATTGCCATTACAGGTCGTGTTGGTAGTGGTAAATCAACATTAATCAAGTGTTTATTGAATGAATTAATCAAACGTGATGGCCAATTGAAAATTAACCAATGTTTTCAGCGACAAGCAATCGGTTATGTATCACAAGAACCATGGATTCAGGATACAACTATCAGGAAAAATATTCTTTTCGGTAAAGAATTTGATCCGCAATTTTATAATGAAATTATTGATGCTTGTCAATTATCGGATGATTTCCAGCAATTTCAATCAGGTGACCAAACACTCATTGGCAATCACGGTCAAACATTATCGGGTGGACAAAAATCTCGTATTCAATTAGCACGTGCATTATATCAGAATTTTTCTGTTTACTTGATTGACGAACCATTCGCAAGTATCGATCAACAAGTAGCCAGGAAAATTTATCGAAAATGTTTTGGTGGAATATTGAAAAATAAATCCATTATACTGATCACTAATCATATCGAATATTTACAACAAGACGATACCTTTCATATTTATTATATGGACAATGGTCATCTCATTGATTTGAATCATACAAAGCTAATCAATCGAATGGATAATCAATCTGATCAAAATCATTATCAAATCGATAATCACAAACCAGCGACCATCGAACAAGAACAACATGAAGAAAAAGAAGAGCGTGAACATGGAAAAATTAAATTGGCTGTTTATATTCATTATATTCGATCGATTGGTTATTTTCTGTTCACAATGATCATTACATCCATTTGTTTGATGCAAATGTCACGTAGTGCATCCGATTTTTGGCTTTCCATATGGACTAATCAACAACAATCATCACACAACAATTCTTCATTGTTTTATCTGGAAATATTCATAATGATCGGTATTATCAATTCAATAATAACTTTGATTCGTGCATTTTTGTTCGCCTACGGTGGTATAATGGCTGCAACAGTTGTTCATAATGCATTATTGAATAAATTATTTCAAACATCAACATTATTCTTTGATATTATTTCCTTTGGCCAGATAATTAATCGATTTTCAACCGATTTATTCAATGTTGATGATGCATTACCCTTTACCTTGAACATCTTCCTTGCCCAAATATCATCATTAATAGCAGGTTTGATTGTTACCGTTTATGGTCTGCCATGGATGATAATCATATTTGTGTTGCTAACAATACCATATTATATTATACAAGAATATTATCGGAAAACATCACGCGAATTGAAAAGAATTTCGGCCACAACATTATCGCCAATTTATTCACAGTTGGATGATACCATACAAGGATTGACTATCATTCGTTCATTCAAACAAGATATCAGATTTAGAAATGAATTTAATGAAAAAATAAACATTTACACTCGTTGTCAATATGCAATCAATGCCATACAACAATGGTTAAATTTGCGGTTACAATTGATTGGTGCTTTCATAACTAGTTCGGTTGCATTGATTGCCGTTTATATTCATTACTATCATGAGCAATATTTAAATTCAAGTCTTATCGGTTTATCATTGGTATATTCATTATCATTGACAAATCTATTGAACGGCACATTTTCAGCATTTGCCCAGACCGAATTGGATTTGATTTCAGTGGAACGAATCGAAAAATTGATTGAAAAATTCAATGATTACAAGGAAACTGATAATGATGATGAAAAAGTGGAATTGGACAGATTATGGCCATCCAAAGGAAATATCCGGTTCGATAATGTGTCGATGCGTTATCGTTCAGATTTACCACTAGCATTGAAAAATATTTCATTCGAAATTCATCCAGGCGAACATGTTGCAATTGTTGGCCGCACTGGTTCAGGAAAATCATCAATTTTTCAAACATTATTTCGCTTGGTTGATATTGAAACCGGTTCGATCAGTATTGATGATATTGATCTGAAATGGATTGATCGAAATATAATCAGGTAAGAATTGAATAGAGATAATAGAATTGAAAGCAATATATTTTCAAAATAGATCTCGATTACATATCATACCGCAAGATGTATTCCTATTCAATGGTACTATTCGTGATAATCTTGATCCACAAAATCGATATGATGATAATGAAATATGGACAGCATTATTTGATTGCAAAATCAATATGCTTGTCGATAAATTAGGGGGTCTTGATTGTATTCTGGATGAAATGGGAACAAATCTAAGTGTGGGACAAAGACATTTGTTTGGTTTGGCAAGAGCAGTGTTGAATAGATCGAGAATAATTTGTATGGACGAAATAACTGCCAATATTGATAATGAAACTGGTCGTATTCTAGATGAATTAATCGAAACGGTATTCAAACAAACAACCATTCTACATATTGCGCACAAGTTTGATTCAATTCGTAATTACGATCGAATTATTTATATGAATGATGGAACCATTGATCAACAACAACAATGATGATTATATAACCACCACCAAATACTAATTGTATGGCTTTACAATCAACCAAACCGGAACCTATATTTTTTACAATCAAAAATTATTAAATAAAATTATTTTTGAAAAAACGAATTTGTCTTACTGTCAATCAATCAAATATGGGAAAAAATGATTCATTCATTCAAAATGATTTGATGATTGATAATTTCCATTTTCCATTTTTTCTCTGCACTGATCAATCAAAAAATCACACAAAAATCTATTCTCTTTTGATTTCTGATATGGCTTCTTCCTCCTTTCTAGCTCATTTTCATTCAGTTTTCTCTTTTGTAAAAAATGAAACAAAAATTGATCAACAAAAAGATAAAATATAGATGGCTTCTGGCTATATGGACATTAAAGAGTGTGTCGATATAGACTTTTTTGTTGTTTCTCTTTTCCATTGAATCATGAATAATAATGATACAAAAACATGGTTGGGCCAACCAATTTAGTTTGACAAGAGATGCAAAACATTTCCCCTGAAATTAAAAATCCAAATCTCCAGCACTAAATCGAATTGGATCAAAATCAAATCCAATCGAAAATGAATGAAATGCAAACAAATAAACCATAATCAAAATAGGCGGAACTAGATCAACGAATAAACGAAAACAAAACAAAAAACGGCAAAATCATTGAAAACAAGATCTATTCATCAACAAAAATAGATAGCTTTTTTGTGAAACAACCTTTTGGATCTGTTGGAAATGGTCCATGAATGTTTGAATGATAATAGTGTAGACACCGTACATTCGAAAAATCGTCAACAGTTAACATTCGATTCGATTCGTTCATTCATGTGGTGCACATTCTCTTTTTCTCTTTTTTCCAAATTTCGATTCATTTTCATTTTGTTTCTTTGTTTGCGTTTGAATTGTTATTTGAAATTAACAAAAACTGATGATCAAACCAATTCATTTCGTTTCAGTGTTGTCACACAAACAAGTTTGCATTAAATTGAAGAGAGTGAAAGAAAAATAGATTGCCCGTTTTGGGAAATTTCATTGCTTTCATTGTCATCATCAAAAGAACATTTGTAGTGTTGGAATCATCATTTTTTCTGTGAATAATTTTCAATTGATTGATTGATTGGTAGATCGATCTCCTACTTCCTGTGTGTGTTGATTTTTTTCAAGAAAACTTTGTGAATTTTTCGAAAGTAAGTTGAAATTGCAACATTGAAAAATTTCAGTTTGGCCAATAAACAAACAAAACAAAAGCTAATTAGTTTTTTATTTGTTGTGACAACTAATTTTCTTTTTTGATTGTTTATTCAATATGATGATGATGATAGATCATTATGGCTCATAATAATAGCATTCATATTGATGATTCGGATACGTCATCATCGACTAATGATTCACAAACCACTACTATCGCTAATTGTGATAATATAGTAAATCGTAACTATAATAACAGAAGGATTCAGCAAAATTTACCAATCGCAACATTAGATGTCCACAAAGGTGAAATTATTCGTTTACAGGTGAAAGTAATGGTTCCAATTGATGATCATCCAAATGTATGTGTTTCAATTAGTGAAAAGATTGAAAATTTTAATTTGCTTTTTCAGTATAATTTTGTTGGCAAATTACTTGGACCAAAAGGAAATTCGCTGAAATGGTTACAGGAAAAAACGCAGACAAAGATGGCCATTTTCGGTCGAGGATCAATGAAAAATAAACAAAAAGTAAGCAAAGGTTATTTTGGCTATATTAATCGATTAATTAATGAAATTAATCAGGAACAAGAACTAAGAGAAACGAATGATCCAAAATATTCACATCTGAATGAAAATCTACATGTGGAAATAACAGCTATTGCATCGGCACCTGAAGCCTATCAACGTATCAGCCAAGCATTGTTCGAGATTAAACGATTTCTAGTACCGGTATGATATTATTCTGCTTTGTTGAAATTGTGAATTTAATCATTTTTTCTATTGAAAGGACTATTTCGATGATATACGACAACAACAACTGCGAGAATTGGGTGTCATTTCTGACGATCATCATCCACAGACATCTAAAATTAAAGTGGATTCCAATTCATCAACAGTATCGCCATGTAATTATCTTCAACATTATGATGAAATCGATGCAATTACCATCGATAATCACCATAATCTCTGTCATGATAATTCCCTAACAAATTTTAATAAAAATATGATCAAACCAGATAGAAAATGTTCATCAACATCATCGATACTTGACTCATCCACAATTCAAAGCCATCCACATCATGGTCATCAGCACCACCTCCAACAACAAGCTAATGAACAGTTGCAAGATAATTTTCTAATCATGAATAACTATCATATTGATGATTTAATAACACTTAAAAATGGTAAAAGACTGATTGTCGACTCGAATAATGGCCATTTAAAATCATCCAGAAAACTTTACCATCATTATGGTGTTGGCTGTGCAAATGATAAACAATCCACCAATGCAACAAAACGTTCGATAATGATGAAGCCATATTATCGAAGCGAAACGACATTTATCAATAAATTCCAATGAAATTAAAATAATAATTTTATTAATAAGATAATGAAACAATTTGGGAGAAAAAACAATCATTTGTGGTGTGGAGAATATTGGAAAAAATGATAAATTTTCAATAAACAAAATAAAGAATTTGAAATAATGTCTGTTTTGCTTATCAAGTCAATAACAACAGTCAGTTTTAAACATTTCAGGCATGGTTGTGGTTGAATGTAAAACATATCAAGAGATAATTTAGTTAAAGCACCGGGTTGTGTTTTCACCATTTTCATTAAAAAGACTAGTGATAAATTTTGCATGCTGAACAGAGGTAGTAGTTTTTGTTTTGTTTCAATAATAATTTTTCTTCAACAAAATAAACGGAGAAAGGCAGACAAACAATTTTCCAACAATGTTTGATGTGATTTGTAATTGATGTGAAAATAAAAATTTAGATTAAAAAACGAGAAACCGGGTTGATTTGATTGTTTGTATAGAAAATAGAAATAATAATAGAAACATAATGATGAGGTAATCAATAATTGAGACAAGTTTGTGTTAACCGGGATTTTGTTTGAAACAATTCTTTTCCAATCCTATTTTTATAAATCAAATTCAACAACGACAATTTAAATCGAATCGAATGATGATGGATCACGATGATGATGATGATGATGCTGTTGTTGTTGTTGGTGATGATGATGGTGAACATGATGATGAGCTTGATGCTGATGATGATATTGTCCCTGAGTGATAGTTTCATCAATCAACAATGATTGAATAGGATTTGAGGTAGATGAAAAATTGTTATTTAAACTAATTTGTGTTGCCGTTTGTTGCTGAGATTGAGGTTGGTTATAAATCGATTCACCGATCGGATTAAAATTAACCGAAGAGGATGATTCAATAGTATGACCCGTAGATTGATTTGAGCTATCAAGATGATGTTGAACATGTGAATTGAGATGTTGATTATGATGATGATGATGAGAAGGTTGAAGAATGGGCGGAGGGGGAAGGAGAGGTGGTAGCTGATGTGGATGTGAATGGGGTCGACAATTTCTCAACGAAGATGATAATGTAGTTGGTTGTTTGAAATTAGAAAGTGATGGCAAACAAAATGGGGTATCAGTTTGGAAATTCGGATTCAATGCTGCTGTCTTGGATTGAGATATTGGGAAACATTGCTGTAAACCTGATGCCGTTGCATTATCAGCATGATAATTGACAGCTGTGGTGGTGATGTTTGAAATGGTTGCAGAATTGAAATCTAAATTAGTGTAATCTTGCTGCGGTGGTGAACAATATTGTTGTTGTTGTTGTGAATAATTATTATCAAAATGGACCGAATGATTGTTATTATAATTATTTCTTGTTGATGATGGTGGTGTTGTTGTTGTTATGATTGGGACTGAATTATCAGCAGCAGCACTGACAATATCATCGTAGATAATTTTGGTTGGTGATGACCCGACTGGCATTGTTGAGGTAGAATGAGTAAACATGTTAATTAGCGGATGATTATTATTATCATTCGATAATGATCTTGTTCCATATGGCATTGTTGTTGTTGGTGATGATGATGATGAGGTAGTGGAATCACGATTGTTAAAGTAAATAAGATTCACTTGTAAATTGTTGATTGTTGTTGATGATGAGGATGAAGAGGTAGAAATCAAGGCAGTCGAATAATTATTTGGTTGTGTTGTTTGATAATTATCCCGTAGTTGTTGTTTTGGTTTCGAATTTTTCCTACCCGTCGAAGCTTTTTTGGTTGATTTTTTCGTCAAAGTCGACGATGATGTCGTTGATGTTGCCGGTGTTTCGGTTTGAACATTGTTATTGTCACTGGTTGTGGTTGTATTTCGTCGTTTACACGATCGTGTGTCTTGATCATGACTTTTTTTCGCATGTCGCACTAGATGATCTTTTCTACCAAACCTTTGTTTACAGAATGGACATGGAAAATTTCGAACACCAGTATGTACAACCATATGTCGTTTGACATCTTTTTGGGTAAAAAATCGACCTTGAACGAGAAAATTGGATTCAATTCAAAAAATTGAAATTCAGACAAAAACACCTACTTTCACATTGATCGCATTGAAATCTCCGTTCGGATTCGGGTCGTTTAGTTGCACGATACTTGATTGGTCTTTTTCGGCTATTGTTGGTGTTGTTTTTTCGTTTATCAATCTGATATGATGATGATGAATCGGTTGATGTTGTTGTTGAATCTACTGGTGGATGTGATGAATTATCATTAATTTTATCAGTATCCGACGTTGGTATTGTTGTTGTTGTGGTCAATAATGTATTCGAATTAGAATGACAAATATTTTGAAGTTCATCACCATTATTATCATCCATAACAATATTCATCATTTTTTCTTGTTGATAAACGAAAATCAATCAGCCAAAATTCTAGCATAATCAACCATATGATGGCAATCAGTTGTGCAACATTTTTTGTTCAAAGCAAAAGATTTCATCTAATAAAAGAATTTTAATGATGAATATCACTTCCATTTTCAATCAATCAAACATTACCCGAAATCAATGAACAAAACCACATCACACCACCGAATCGAACGGAGTTATGATTAGCCAATTCAGCAGAAATTTCCAATTCAAAATCCGGGACGAAAAAAGTGGATCCCGAATGAAAAAGCGAACACAGGGCAAAGAATGTGCGAATCAGAAGCAGAGAAGAATTCAGCAACAAAAGAAATTTCTGTGGAGTCATTCAGAAATGATGATACAAAAAAAAAATTACAAACGTTCGATCGAATTCATATTTGGGTTAATTTAATTTTTTTTCGTCGACAAGGTCTACCTACGGAATTTGAATTCGATTTTTTTCTCCAAAATTTTTATAAAATTGAAAATATTAAAAGTTCATTTCGTTGTTGTTTGTCGTCGTCGTCATTTTTTTGTAGCGGCTTCAAATCATTATCATAAAAAAAAATCTGGATCATCTTAACAGGCAATAACAAAAACTATATCAATCAGCATCTGCGTGCTGTTGCTTCACAAGCCGCCGTGTATCATCATGATCGTTCGTTGATCGTCATCGGTGTGTAGTTGTATAGATTTTTTCTTTGAAAAAATTTATTTTTTGTTTTCCAATTAAAATCTCAAGGCCATCGATAATTCTCTCAAATGTGCATATGTTTTGTTTGTGGTGGTCGTCGATGGTGATGATAGTTTTTCTTTCTTGCTTGAATGTTATGTTATGAAAATGGCGCGCTTGTTTTGTTCGACGACATTCAGCCATGCTTCTGCTTGTTTGTTTTCAGATGATGATGGTTGATGAAAATGTAAAATGATCGTTGATGGCCATTTGCTGAAACATAAACGAAAGTAAACTTGGACCATCATGATTATCATGATTATGATAGACATTTATCATTATCATTACCATCATCATTAGCGTGTGTTTGTAATAAAATACCTTTATATCCAAAATAGTGGATGGCTTATCATTAGGATTTAAATTGGAAAATTAAAATCTTTTCTTTTTTCTATTTTGTGTTCCCATTGAAAAGAAAAGAAGAGAATTTTCGTTTTGCAAATTAAGTTTTTTTATTAATTAGCAAAAAATTGTGCGATTTTATTTGTGGGGAGAAGGATGAAATTACATAAGGATATGATGAATAGATAGATGTGTGCGTTCTGGAACAAGAAATTCATTCGAATTTTTGTTTTTTGGCCAAAAACAATTCAAGTCAAAATAGTCGAAAGAAAGGCGTGCGTTTACGGGTAATCTCATTTGGAAAATCTCAAAAACCAAACACTTTTTCTTCTCAAAACAAACAAACAACCGGACCAAAGAAATCTTAAACTATTGAATCGAAAAAGAAGAAAAAAAATGGAAAAATTATTTTAAAATTTTGAATTCCAAGAAAAGAAAAAATTGATGCGATAGAGAAAAGTAATGCAGAAGTAAAAGGGGAATTCGGTCATCGTTCTTCAAAAAGTTTAATTTTTTTTAATTTGAAAAAATAATAATAATGTGTAGTTGTAAGAAAATATAGGAAATAAAAACAACAAAATTGTAAAGTGAAAATGTAAAATATGTGAAAAAATTAATTAAAAATTTCAAACAAAATAATGAGCATCTGATTTGAAAAAATTCAAGTGGAAAAAATAGGCATTCTCAAAACCATAAAAAGCAAACGGAAAGAAGCAAAAAAATTATACATTCAAAAATTTTATGATGATCATCATCATTCAATATTCATCTGTCATTGATCAATTTAATTTAGATTTATAATCATCAACAATTTTACCTAGATTTTCCTGTTCAGGGGATTTGATTGTCTGATCAGGTTTATCCAACGAAAAACAATAGATACCAAAATGATGACACATTTGTCGAACGATACAAATGGCATAGTGTAAATGCAGTACGGTATAAATAATGGCATTTATACGAAGCAAACGCAGTTCTTGTTGATCACTAATCGAACCAAATATTGCACATAATGTCGATAGCAATAATGGATATAAAAACCAATTGATTAAATCACATTTTGTCGATGACATTTGACTTACTATCAAACGACACTGTTAGCAACAACAACTTTCATTAATTACTTTTATCGAATGTTTTCCATGTTAAACTTACAGCAATATTTGAGAAAACCGTTCCCACCATAAAATAGAAAGTTCTGGGATCAACGTCAATAATATTCATGGGGGAAAATGTTGCCCATAATGTTGATATCAGAAACAAGCCGATCAAGGATATTAATGGACGAAATGATTGATAAAACGTCTTCTGCTTAGGTGTTTGACATGTATAAACATTATAGAATGCTATCGGTATTGATAATAAAAAACTGGTGACTGGTCATAATCAAAGAAAAAGAACATTTTCATTACAAATCAAAACAATTTTTGGCTGAAAAATTACCATAAGAAATAGCTTCGAACAGTTCGCCAGATGTAAGATTGAGAATGGGCACGGTAAATTTCCAGAATTGATGACCATGACTGAAGGTAATGATATAGAGCAGAAATAATGCCATTTGTGATGCATCATAACTCCACGGCAGGTAAAGTATGCCGGTATTATATTTTTCCCAGTGTGATAAATAAAAGGTGATGTATATTGTCCAGAATATGAAATGCATCGCATATGGCGATTTTGAATAATCGGCACGGCCAAATATGGAATAAATACAGAATGGTATGAAAAATGCTGTCCAACTATCCATCCCATGATCCATTAGTTCACCCAATGGACCAGATGAGCGGGTACGCCGTGCATGTTTACCATCAATACCATCCAAGGTATGGGCAACAAAATGAAACACAGCACAAACAATCCAAACCCAACCCGGTATTGGCGCGGATTGTGGATGCGAATCACTTGATGCATAAAATTCCGGATCATATACACTCAGCAATAAACCATTTGCGGCTGTCATGAGAAAACCAACAAAAGTGAGAACATTTGGCGCCAACCACATTGGAACAAGCTTTGGAAAATTTCAATTAAAAATGCAAATCAATCAATCAATCAATGATGCATACCTTAACAACCGTGTTCCAAAATGGATGCATAACATATTTGCTCAATGGACTAGTATCTTTTGAACTATACTGTTCGGGTGGAGATTAAATGAAAAAAAATGAAAACAATTCAAAGCAAAGCATACATACCACATAATTTTCGAATCCTTTAAGATGATTATAATTCAAATATTTATAATTGAATATAGAAGCCATTTTGTGTTTTGTTTGCTCAAAATAGCAATTTTCGTTTTGTTTCTTAAAAGAGTGTTGTTTAGAACAACAAAAGTCTGATTCGATTGTTTGACTGCTAAAGAATTAGCATTCATTGAATTCAAGTAATATAATTCAAATTAATTCATAACATTCACCGATGAATTGAGGAAGACAAACCGAGAAAAAATGAAAAAGAAATCAGGACGACAAATTGGATTGATTATTTTTGCTTGGTTGGAAAACAAAATTCAAAATCCAATCGTTGGTCGTTTTGTTTCTATCGCTGGTAATTCAATTCATCCGTTCAAGATAAATCAAAGTTCAAATGTAATGTAATAATGATGATTTGGAACCTGATACAGTTTGGTGAACAGTAAAAAGATCATTGGTTTTTTCTTTCTCTTGATAATAATTCGATAATCAATCAATCAAAACAACAAATCAATCATGACTAGTACGATGGTATCGTTGATTATTATTTTTGATGATCATCATCAATATCATATCAAGCAAATTATTATTGAATGGTAGGCTGTCCTAATAGCATTACATGGCCATTAGCAAAATGTATGAATGATATGAGTGATAGTGATAATGATTTAAACACACATCAGCAGCATTGATAATTGGTTGGATGGAAAAATGCTGATCTGCTAAAATAACAACTAATTTGGCAGAAGAAAAACTGTTTATAACGCCAATTAGCAGCAGAAATAGAAAAAAAATCAACTTTCAATTCGATTCGATATTTACATTGAATTGAATGATGCTGATTTCAAGCAGCAAAAAATGCCGTTTTCAGTTACGTTCACCAATGTCGTTATCGAACAACAACAACAGCCCGGTCGAAAAACATGTGATAATTCCGTATTTAGCTGATTGGTTTACGAAAAATCTTTTCGCAAAACCTTGAAAAAACAAAACATCGAATCAATTTACACAATAGTTTCCAGTAGCGACAACAACAGCAAGATCATGTCATTTCCACGAAAAGAACAGCGTTTAAAGTGTTATTCAGCTCGTGATCAATTCTGGTCATGTTTAGATCAACATTATGATGGCCATCAAAAAAATGCTAGTGATGAAATACCGACTGAATGTCAAAAATTGAAGACATTGTTCGAAACCGAATGTCCCCAACAATGGACTCAACATTTCAATCGTAAATATCAATATCTTAAATTCAAACAAAAAATTGAAACCGGTTATGAACCAATCGATGATGATGATCATAAATGAATAATGTCAATTGAGTGATTTTATTGATTAAAATGTATTATATCAAAAATGAATAAATAATTTTTACTTTTAGCAAAAAAAATGATGTAAAATATTTTTTATGAAACGGACCATTGTAGAATGGCTGAATCTTTACCACCAATCGAAATGACACGGCTATCGTCGGCTAAAAATCTCACAGTCTGTATGGTAGCAGTATGACCGGAATATGAATGATGTAAACATTTTGGCTGACAAGATGGATAAGAAAATAGATTCAAACGACCAATATCATCACCGGTAATCAATAGTTTGCTATTATTCGAACGATCAGTGCTGCTGATGAATGGACCTATCGATAGATTATTATCCGGCCAAATACCAAACACATTGAAACCAATCATTGAATTGTGTGTAGCAAATTCTAGATCACGTGCTATCGACACATTGTTCAATTGTCGACAAATCGAGGCATTCCAATAAAGATGCTCGAACAGAATGGATGTTGTTTGTATATAGGTATTGGATGTATCCCAATCTAGTTTGGCCCAATCGATTGATTAATTTACATTTACATTTATCAAATCATTACCTATACTGATTACGTAAGATGTATGACCAGAGCAACGGCCAATTCGATTGAATTTGCGATATTCCTCACTAACTTGATAAACATAGATATTATTATCACGAGATGCAAGCGCAACATAACGTCCATTTGGCGAAAATTTAATGCATTCAATCAAATCTGAACCATCGTTATGCATTGATATTAGTTGTCGTGTAGTCGAATCCAACACCATCCAACGTCCATTGGTGGTGGTACTCAAAATTAGAATACTGCCATCAGGAGAAAATGATGATGAATGAACTGCCTCGCCAATATCTTTACTCCATACAACCAAATGAGACATGGTGTCCCAAAGATGAATATTTTTATCATAACCACCTGTTATGAATTGATTCTGTGTGGGATGTATGGCCAATGCATTCAACTCATCAGTATGACCCTAATTTTTCATTAAAGATAATTAATCACTTTTCAACTTATAAACTAAGTATTTTACCTGAATAACCAATGAAAAATTCAATGACATTGTTCCTTGTAGAATACAATTTTTCGTTGTACCGACAATCAACATTGATCCTTTACCGGTAGTCAACGTTCGCACACCACCGTATTGATCGGGCAGCTTTTCAAAATTGCAAATTCAATAAACTAATCGAAAAAAGGTGAAAAACAAACCTTTGCTTCTCGGCCAGTACGATTCATATTGGCATTCCATTCGATAATTTTTTTATCTTTACCGCCGCCGGTAACAATGGTACCATCTTTCAATGCACAAATATCAAATATAGAACCATCATGTGCATCATAAATAGTTCGCTGTATACGGCCAGTATTTGGCTGCCATATGATAATATTACCATTCGAATCACCGGTTAATAGTTCACCAACATCATTGAACGTCATACAGAGAATATATTTTGGTTTATCTTGTTTCTGTCATTGTTATGAGCAAGCAAAATGATAACCCAATTCAATCACACAAACAACAACAACAAATCCCATACCTCGAATGATCCAATTTTTTTGGCTAATGAACCACCTTCGATATCCCAGAAATGAATATGGCCTTTGCCAATAGTGATTAATAAATTTTTTTCAATCGGATGAAATTCAGCAGCCAATACTGGATCACATGTTGACTTTGCTTCTGATATTTTATGTCCATTCATTCCTTTATGCCATTCCCATAATGACAGTAAATGATCATTGGATTCATCCACCACACATAGAAGATTTCCGCCGTCCAATTTGGAAAACGTTATACAACTAATGCCACGATCAAATTCCCCATTCTGTTGTCCCAATATATGCAGAGTGTTCAGGCTGACCGAATCCCATATTCGAACATGTGGCCTTTTTTCCAATCGACTAAATCAATCGATATTGAAAAATAGAATAGAACTTCAAACAACAAAACAATTCTTACCAATCATGACTAATACTTTGTCCAGTTGCAATTAACAGTTTATTAGGATGTACAGTCAAACAACGTATTTCATTGGTGTGGCCATTGTAATGACGTTGAATTTGATCATCAATATTATACAGGACAACCACTGCTGCCAAAAAATAGACGATTTCGCCGGTCGGTAACAGGTATAGATTATGTCGACAATCACGTCCTCTATAGCCATATCTATGGTTTTGGAAATGTCAAATCACAGAGAGAATAATCCATCAATCAATCAAACAAAACAAATAACTTACGCCCATTCCAATTTCAATCGTTGTAATGGTGGACTGGTTACATTCTTAATGGTATATGTTTGCAATAAATCTGTAGGTATATGGATTTGTATTTGTCGATCACAAATATTATATTTTATCACTCCTTCCACTATTGTGTGTGGGTGGAAAGAAATTTCAATATAAGTAAATCAAAGTAAATAAAATTGCAAAAATTGAATACCTTGATTGTAGAAGAAATCCTTTTGATTGCTGCGGATAGAATGAGAAAAGAAAGGTAAACAAAGCAATAAAATGAATCTTGAAAGCACATACTTGATATTGGGATCAATCGATTGAAAACGTATGTCCTGGCTGGCTGACCATCGTTTCATGGATTTCAGGTTCGAACCGGAATTCATTCTCATCAATGATTTCGAATGATTCATCGACGATATCGAACGATAATGTTGATGGTGATTATTGATGGATTGTGGCGTTGATGTGTGGTCATAATGTAATGAGGTAGATGATGGATAACGACGAGTATTGAATGTCATTTGATCATTATTATTATTGCTTGATTGCAATGAATTATTTGCACCATTCGATGATAAGGATGACAAATTTTTAGCACGAAACATATTGCCACGATTGTTGTTATTGAAAATATTTTTGCCATTATTCTGCTGATGATGACTAGTCGGTGATAAATGATGATATGATGTTGTTACGATTGCTTTATTCCAACGAAAAACGGCAAATTGAACTTCAAAACAACAAAAACAAAAACAAAACATACCACGTCCTTCAAGCTGATTCAATCGTCGTAATACATCGGCCAATGTACTTTTCAAACAAACAATTTCATCGCACTGGTCGGCCAATTTTTTTTCCATTTCAGCCATACGTATGAATATTTGATTCATATTACAACAACGATCATTAGCAAGACCGTTCATAATGCCGTTTTCGCCTGATAATCCACCAACACCAATTACACTTAGACTTGAGTTGGAATTTGACATAAGACTTTCGTCTTTCATATGAAATAGATTAATGTCAATTCAAATTACCATATGCAAATATTACCTGTAGAAAGGCCGATAAATTCGTCCATTGTGTTTGAATGAATGATTTTTAATTAAGTTGCCCACAAATTGTCGATATCCAAACAGAACAAAAAACAAAAATGCTTGTTTGTTTGACTCAACGATCACATTTCGATAATGATGATGATGATAACAATCACCAACAACAACAACAATTTAGGACAAATTCTTTTCCAATGATGCTTTTCACAAAACTAAAATTTTAAAAGATTAAAAATCAATTATTTGACTTGTGGCATTCGGTTTGTTGCTATATGAAACAATTTTTAGTAATGGTTTTTGTTGTTGTTTTCGTTATTTTCTCGTTCTCAGTTGAAACTTGAAAATTTCGACAAGTTGGCTAAAATCCTGACTCGTTCACACCGCACTCTGCATATACTGATTACGACGATAATCAAGAAACTTGCTACCACGACGACCGATCTCGACCGACGACGACGATATATAGCAGAGATGTAAGCGTAAAAAGAGAGAATTCTCTCTTTCTCTCCTCTCTCACTGTCTACATCTCGGTTAATGATGTTTTGAGGCAACCTAAAAAATATATTTTTTCTGGTTGGCTGATTGATTGCAACCAAAGGAAAAAACTCCATACACATTCTCTATCGAAATGCCATCATTCATCATCATGATCATTCATCAAACACTGACGTTATGACTGCTTTTTCCTTGCCTTGCAATTTCAGCTTGGCTGGTTCAGTTTTGCAGTTAATGGTCAATGATAATTGCCGGTAATAATGCTGGCAAAAAAAATGTCCACCGGAAGATGGCACTGGATCGATTATTAGAAAAATTGCTTTTATTATTTTAAAAAAGTGAATCAATTGCTAATGTTAATCATCAATATCAATTAAATCATCCGACAAAACAGTGTCATCATCGTCGCCATCATCATAATCATCTTCTGAATCATCATCATTATCCAATATTTGTTTGTAATTCGTTACTCTACGAGCACGGAGTGATGGCTTGGGTGACGGTGTTGGCAATTCTTGTAAAGAATCCTCGTCCTCATCGCTCGATATGATGAATTTGTGTTTTTTATTGGCAGTGGTTTTTTTCGGTTTTTCAATAACTTCGTCATCGAATTCATCAGATTTTCGTTTATCGTTATTGGTCTATTCAAATTAATCAATAATCAATTTTGTTAGAGACAATCAACAAATAACTTACCGACGAGGATTGTTTAGTTTCAAATGTTTTCAACTTGGTATCTTTTGCTTTACCAAAATTGATTGTCGTCTGTTTAAGTTTCAACTTGTTGGCAGGCTGTTTAGGCTTTATTTCCACCACATCATCATCATCATCTTCATCACTTTGGGCATTTGATTTTTTATCAGTTTTAGCAACTGCAGCAGCAACAGCTCCAAGCATGGCCGTAATTGTTTTTTGATTTTCGGGAGATTTTCCATCATCAGATTGATTATCCTTTTTCTTATCTTTGTTTGAATTGGTGGACTTTTTAACCCGTTCTTTTTTCTCTTTTTTGGGCTGATATTTTTCAAAATCGATTTTCGGTTCAATACGATCAGCCTGTTCACTTGGTTTATAGATGTCGGCAATGTTTGTAAGTTTCAACCCTTTTGCAGTGATTTTGGCCGATTTTTTTGGCTTAATACCTTTCATTGCAGTTTCCCGTTCCATTTTTTCAACCCGATCCAATTCTTCGACGAATGAATCCAAATCTCTTTCCCATAGCATTTGCGGTGTTGAACGTTTCAGATCTTCGAGTTCAGATTTTTTAGCATCACGTTTTTTCAACAATTCTTGAACATTTTCTCTCAACATGGTTCGCATGGTCATATCGATGAGATAGTCATAATCATATTTTTTCTCTTCTTCTGTTTCTTGTTCGTCGACTTCTTCATCGTTGTCATTGTTGGCTGATTCAGTATCATTTTGATCGATATTATATTTTTTACGCCAAGCTTTCACTGGATCCGAATCATATTTTCGTTCGAGCAAAACTTTGAGAAATTCCTTCTTCTTGATGTTTTCCATGATGATTTTCTTATCATTTTTCTCCAGAATGAAACGAGCTTGATTTTCAAGTTTCAATGCCTCAGCTTCAAGCATACCTTCATAGTATTTCTTTCGTCGAACATAAAAATCCAGACGAACTGGGAAAAATTCTCGTAAGATATCCAAAGACGACTCGTATCGTCGGATAATGCCATTCTTATCGAACAAAACCATCGATGAAATAGACATGGACGTTTGTAATCGAAATTCTTTGTGAATTCCTTCGCGCATCACTTTTTCCAATGAACTTTCATTCATTTGTACTAGAAATCTATGGACAATGAAAAAAATTAACAACAAATCAATCATTATACAACACATACTTGATGGTAGTATCGGTATGATATTCTTTGTAATCGTTGATAAGGGCTGGACTTTTTTCTGTGCCATGTAACATGGGCTCCAAAATGGATTCCTTATATACTTGTGTCCAGGTACGCACTGGTAATTCGGTAATTTCAATAGTACGTTCATCCAATATGGCAACTTCGCCATTGATAACATATTTCATTGGATCTACTTTGACTACAGTACCTCTAAAACCTTTGTACCATGGATTCATTTCAACAGGTTCTTCATTGCGAATCATCCGTTTAATATTATCGACAATGGCTCGTGGATCATAATTGGGAACTTTAGTGCTCCAACCAGTACCAATACCTTCGGCACCATTCACCAAAACCATCGGAATAATTGGAACATAGTATTCCGGTTCGATTCGAAGATTGTCGTCATAGAGATGAGCCAATAATGGATCATCCAATGGTGGAAATAATTTTCTCGCCAATGGACTCAACATTGTGAAAATGTAACGAGGACTAGCCGCATCTTTACCACCTTGAAGTCTGGTACCAAATTGACCATGCGGTTCTAGCAGATTAATATTATTACTTCCAACGAAATTCTGCGCCAAATTGATAATGGTCGACATCAATGACATTTCACCGTGATGATAGGCACTCAATTCACCAACCGATCCAGCCAATTGTGCAACTTTAACTTCACGTTTATCATTACGCTTAAAGCAAGTATAGATCACTTTACGCTGGCCAGGCTTGAATCCATCAACCAACGATGGTATGGAACGTTCGTTATCCATATTGGAGAAGAGAATCAATTCTTTGTTGATGAAATCTTTATAGGTCACTTCATGTGTATTGTGTTCATAGAGATAGATTTCTTTTTCACCATTTTCACGTCGTCGTCGACGTTCTTCCATGCCGGATGTTAGCCAATCTTTTCTAGCTTCGACCATTTTTTTACTGAATGCCAATTCAACTGCTTTATCATCACCATCATCATCATAACGGAATTTGATACGATGACGTTTCATGTCGGAAAAATATTCCTTTGCCTCTTCCGATGTGGAAGTACCCAAACCTATCGATTGGATAAATTATTAATGAAAGAGTACATTTGCAATGAAAAAATAATACCTTTGTAGTATTTTATCTTGTATGTTCTATAGTTTGGTGTTTCCTGCTTCCATTCTTCAAATTCGGGTAACGAATAGAATGCTCGTTTGAAACTACCTTTGGTAACCTTGACAATGGGTGTGATGAATTCTTCGAGAAAATTCAATTTGATCAAAGATGGCCAATTGAAATGGATAAAATTGATGAGCAATCCTTTGATATGAGAACCATCCTGATCCTGATCGGTCATGATCATCAATTTACCATATCGAAGTGTTTTCAGATCTTCAATGGTGTTATACTTTTTCTTGTATTGCAGACCAAGAATTTTCACCAGACTATTAATCTCGGCGTTCTCCATGATTTGTTTATGAGTTGCCTCACGTACATTCAACATTTTACCACGCAATGGAAACACACCGAATTTATCACGGCCAACAACACCGAAGCCAGCGATAACTAATGATTTGGCCGAATCACCTTCGGTCAAGATCAATGTGCAGTCCAGCGAATTTTTCGTGCCAGCATCATTGGCATCCTCCAATTTGGGTATACCTTTCAGTTTATTGATCTTCTTCGAACTCAACTTTTTATCCATTTCGGTTTGCTGTTTGAAACGAATCCAGGTAAGAATCGAATCGACAATACCAATTTTCATGGTGGATTGGAAAAATTTTTCACTTGGGGTGCATTTGGAACCAAAATTTTTACTTTGCAATGTCATTGTCTCTTTTGTTTGCGAATCGAATGTGGGATTTTCGATAAGACAATTGACAAAAATCCATAAATGATTACGTATCTGATGTGGTTTAAGATCTACTTTCGATTTTCCACTCTTTTTCTTGACATTTTCGATCAATTTAGCAATGATTTGATCGGCAACGTGATCAACATGTTTACCACCACGTGTTGTAGCAATACTGTTGACAAAGCTAATCTGCTGGAAACCTTTATCACTTAATGCTATGCCAATTTCCCATCGATCATTAACAACTTCATGTGCCAATTTCAATGGTTCATTATTTTCGTCTTCTTTATCCTTGATGAACAAATTGATGTAGCTTTGAAATCCACGAACAGGAAGACATTCACCGTTAAGAAAAACTTTTACTCCCTTCGATGAACCGGCAACATCATATGCTCGACGGCTGAACAAATCGACAATATCCTTATCCAAATGTGACATATTGAATTTTTTCAAGTCCGGTTTGAATGTTACACGAGTAAAATCTTCACCTTTGGCTGGTCGTATGATTGGCTCTTCAGTAACTTTCATATTATCTTTCCATACTTGGGTGAAGCAGTTATTATATTCGCGAGATGAAGTTTCAATTTTGAACATGGTGCTGAAAATATTACACAGTTTAGCACCATAACCATTACGACCACCGACAACTTTTTTGTCAGAATCATTATAATTGGATGATGTTAGTAAATGACCGAAAATCAATGAGGGAACGTAAAGTTTTTCCTCTTTATGTATGGTGACAGGTATACCACGGCCATTATTGTAGACACTTATTTCATTATCTTGGCTATTGATATCGATACGGATACAGCTCATTTTCGGGTCACGAATTTTATTGTCAGCAGCATTGACGAGAATTTCGTCGAAAATTTTATACAATCCGGGCACATAGCAAACATCACGCAATACCATTCCTCTTTGGCTATCATATACCCACATTTGCTATTCGATGATGAAATGCAATCAATTGTATATCAATTGTCAATCAATCAATAATTATTACATACCTTGGTTTCTTTTTCCACCGAACCAATATAGGTATCTGGACGCAACAAAATGTGTTCCAATTGACTTTTTTTCTGATATATCTCCTCGATGTCACGTTTTTTTTCATTCTGACTATTCAAGGCCTGTCAACAAAAGAAAAACAATTATTATTGGAAAATCAATCATTAGCTATTACAACGTGTCTGCAAAGAAACTGATGAAAATATTTAGGCTGCAATAATCGTCGTTGACAAACTAAATAACTCGATAACATCTTGTGATTTGATCAATTGAATTAGTCGATGTGGATTCATTCCATCAGAATTATTATTATGCGAGTAAATTTACTATACAAGCTAGAACAATTGAAAATTATCGATCAAGATGGTCATCTACCAATTATCACCAGGCACCATGCTGATGCTAAAAGATATGTTCTATATGAAAAGTACTTTTATTTTTAACCCTTCTTGCTTTGTCAAAACTAAAAAAATGATAATGTGATAAGGGCAAAAGATTGAAACGAACCTTGAGCGGCGGTCGATTACTGAGAAAATCATCCATAATCGAAATTTCGGTCAAATTAAATATATCGTCAAAGAATGGTAAGTTCAAGCGAACAAATTCAAATTCGTTGATCTATGGGTAATGCACACAATCGAGATGATGATGAAATGCGAAATTGGAAAAACAAAAATTTTTGTCGACTTGATTGTTAGCAAAAGCAAAATTAAAATGATTACTGAATTCGAAACTTTGTTCAACGGATTTGTGTTGGGGCTAACGAAAAAGCTGAAAAAAACCGCGTATTCGAATCGAACATGCGCAAATGAATAGCGCAAAAAAATATACATTTTGAATAATGTATTTGAATTTTGCGCCATCTGTGATTGTGAAAAATGATGAAATGTATTTTTGCACTCAAAACCATGCTTGTTTGTTTTGAACTTTTTCAAAAATAATTTATTTTCAATTTGTCAGTAAATCAAGTTATCAATGAAAAATATTCATCCATCAAATGAATCATCATGACCAATACTAATCCAGCATTTGCTTTTGTAGTCAATTCCATTTTGAATAAAAATAAAAATTTGAAAATTTTATCAAAAGCCAAAAAAGAAAATACATCATCATTATCGAACGACAATGAACAAACAACCGATAATGATATCGATTTTGTTGATTCTCAAGGTCGACCCATGAAAAAAGAGGATCAAAATCAAAACCGACAGAAAAGACAGGCAAAAGACAATACCATTCAACGAAAAACTAATCATCCAAATGTGCAAACTTGGATATCGAAACCATTGGATGAAGATCGGGAAAAGGAAAGAAATCTAACTCTCATCGCTACCAAAGGTGTTGTACAATTATTCAATGTTGTTCGCGAAAAGCAAAGAATCCTCAAACACAAACTAGAAGAAGCTGGTAGTTCGGAAAGTAAAAGAACCAAAGTTCTGACCGAATTTAGCGAAAAAGAGATGCAAGATGAACGAATAACCAAAACCAACTTGAAGGTTTGTTTTTTTTTGTTTTTTTTTTTTTTTTTTTTTTTTTTTTTTTTTTAAAAAAAAATATAATAAATAAAGTAAAAAAAAAAAAAAAAA